CATCTCCCTCTACTCATTCTAAGGAGAAGGGGAGATGCACTCGCCAACACTTTAACTATCAGTCAGTAGATAGAACAACTGATACTATATGCTTGTAAACATACAAATATATTTATATATAAATACACTCATATATATATGTATGAGTATACTTATATATAAATATATGCGCATGATATATATATATATATATACTTTATATATCTCTTTTAAATGCTATATATATATATATATTATATAGCATTTAAAGAAGAGATATGGTTAATGATAAGGATTATGCATGTAAAGCAAATTGTTATATATAAAATATATTAAATAATAATAACAATAATATATTAAATATCTTTTTTACTTTGGTATATAAATTTGCATTTGCTACTGTTCTCTTTGCGAACCTATGCATATAAAAATGCAGAGCGGCAGCCCCACGACGCGCATGCATTGTCTGAAGACAATAAATAAAAAAGTAAAAGAATATTACAGTAAAAAAGGATTAATTAAATATTTATAATTAAATAGAGTTAATTAACTCTTCTTTTTCATAGAAAGTTAATACTTTCTTCCCTTTCTACGAGGGCCCCTTTACAGCAGCAGCAGCTTGCTGCTGATTAGGGGGCCCCCAGCCATCTCTGTGTCTGTTGAGATGCTTCCAGAGGTTTTCTTGTACATATATTCGATATGCTTATATTTTTGTGTTATTGTTGTTAACCTATTGTTATTATTTTTTTGTTTTATAATATTTCCTTGTGCTTAAGACGCTGAGACCTGCAGAGACCGCTGCCGACGCCGCGCCGCGCTGTATCTGCTGTTGCTTCTTTAGGCTGCTCCCTCTTGGGGCAGCAACAGCAGCAACAGCAGCAGCGGAAGCAGCAGCAGGAACAGGAACAGCAGCAGCAACGGCAACAGCAGCAGCAATAGCAGCACCGGCAGCAGCAGCGGTTGGAGCTCCCACTACTGATTTGTCTAGCAGCAGGAGCAGGGTTTGCTGCTTCTGTTTGCTGCTGTCTGATGTGTGTGTTTGTTTGTTTAAAGGGGGGGAGAAGATGCAAGAAAAGCAGAGGCGTCCTTCTCCTTCTCTGTTTTGGTATATGAAGGGAGTTGTGCTGCTGATAGTTCAGACTTCACTTTTTTTTCTTGTTATTACACAATCCATCTGCTGGCTTTCTGGGTGGCCTCTTCTCTTCTCGCAAACAAACACGGGAGGGTCGCCGCCTCCTTCGTCTGCTGCACCAAGTAGCGGCAGAGTCTACGCCCTAAGTCCTGCAATAAAGGTGCTTCATTAAATATTTCTTCTCTCCTCTATTCATAATCTCACTGCAGCACATGCATGCAACGACTACTGCCCTCTGCATACACAGAGGAGGAAGAGGGGGTTTCAGGAATGTTTGGGTGTATCTGCTTGTAGGGATGGGGAGAGCTTTTGCATGCGTTTGCCTATATACATATATATATATTATATATGTTTGTGTCTGGGGTGTATGCGTGTACACCTGCTGCTGCGGCTGTTGCGACAGGAAATGATGGAGCGTTCAGGGGTTATTCATTCTGCTTGTTATGAAAAAGACAGAAAAGATAATCAGGAGTTTCTTATTTGCATCGGCAGAGCCGACTGCTCTCAAGCAAGGACAAAAGATAGCTCTGTGATGATCTCCGCACCCCACGCTTTGGAGCTTCCTGAGGGAAAACGCAAGTGAGTTCAAGGAAACGCCTGTGCTGCTGGTGCTGCTGCTGCTGCTGCTGCTGCTGCAAGGGGACATCTGTTGCTGCCCTGCCGCTGAGGTCTATCTGAACGCATGCAATGTGCTGGAGGCATTTTTTGCATGTGCGCTTAACTGCATTTTGCTTATGCAGCCTTACTTCAGGGGTATAACTGACAGTGCTGCAACAGTATGAATGTGTAGGAGTACAAATAAGATTACAATATATATAGCTTGAAGCCAACAGTAATAACAGGAGTAATCATTGTATAGAAACGCATGCGTGTGCTGCGCACAGAGTCATGGAGGTAACCCACGCGGTTTTATCCCACGTGGCGAAGGAGATGCAGACGAACGACTTGGAGGTCTTAGTGGGAAAGATCAGCGCCATGGGCTTAGCCTGCGACAGCTTCCGTGCCTCACCTTCTCCCGATACGTAGCTCAGTAGCAGATGGTGGAAGCTTACTGGGCAAAATGTGCAGAACGTACGATAGATAAATGCGTATTAGCTGCTTGAATTGATTTAATTCATTAGGTCGTGTATACACACTTCAGGAGTCGTGCAACATGCGTATCGTGGCTTGTTCGCCCGGCTACTTGAACAGGATTTGCAGGAAATATCCATCTGCTGGAGTGCGGATAAGGTCAATAGAAAGAACGAGAAATAATTGAATCAGTTGTAATAGACTTTGTTTTTTGTTGGTTTCTAAGGAGAACATATTCTCATCCGTTCAGTATTTCATAACTCATGCCTGAATAACGACACTAGAATAGCAATTCAGAAAGATCAGATTCAGGTGTATACGCAGCTCATTCCGGCTGGACTTAGATCAGGCTATTCTGCAAATATCTCAGGAAGCATTTCCTAGACGGAAATGTCGTTTGTTTTATTATAGTTAAGGCAAAAAAATGATTTATTTCTTCATTTTCTTGCTGTTTCTGAGCGCTTGGCTCCGTTTAACAAGGGCTGTTCTGCACACTGGAAGCGCTAAACCTGCCGTGCTAGATTCGATGTTTCACATGCATGCGGATTTTGATGAGGTGTTGGACATCATCTTCGACGGCCCAGCGGACGTCCTCGTGGGTACCAAGGCGAGTGAAACAAAAACCCTTAAACTCACCACTCCGAGGTGTATAATCAAGTACCCAAACATTTCTTTTCTCTTTTTTGGCTCTGTACAGCCTGGCGGTCGTCTGACTGTTCCCGCGACGCGTAATCCAGTAGGAGGAATTCAATGAATAAATGCGTATATACATCGTTTTTCTATTCTGCTAAATTGCTGCAAGCAGAACGGGATCGTTGTGGTTGTTCTGGTAAACAAAATTGTGTTAAGCAGCCTGCAAAGCCCATCCCCTATTCTTCCCTCTTCCCGTAGGCTAGCGGCATAACTGTGCAGAATGTGGGGGCGAGCTCGAAGGCCCAGCTATGGGCATTTGCACCTGTAAGGCGAACAGCCCTAAGACAAAACAACGCCTGCGCAACGAACGCATGCTTCACAGATGTGCTTCGAGCGTACGTACACCCCAGCCCCCGGCCGTATATTCCTAAAAGGGCCATTCAAGAAGGACGTCACTGAAATAAACGGACCAACACAACCAAAAGCCTTGCCCACTACCTCGCAGCAGGTCCTTCCTACGGCGAAATGCAGTAAAGCCCATAGTCAACGGGAGCTATAAGGGAGAAACATAAATATACATCTATATTCATATATACATGTATTACCATACATATATAATATATATATCATTGCTGTTTATATACATCCCCTATAGTGGGATAGTCTATGCTCCCTATTACTGTGATTGTTCTATTATTATTAAAACTCCTATTATTCTATTTCTTCTCTTCAGATTCCGTCTACTTCCAAATCTCCCCCAAAAAGCGCTTGGCTCTCTGCTCTAAGAAACAGCTGTCTCCTCGCAGTCAGCCGAGGGAGTGGGTAGTGCTGCAGGAGACCCTCAGTACTTCATCCCCTCCGCGTCTGGAAGGTAAAAAATAATAAACATTATACCTAGGGATGATTGTCAATAAGAAATAATAAAAACAAAAGAATAATTATGATAATTGTTATATTTAAATGCCTCTCTTCTTGCCTGTGTCTTTAGACAACACTGCGTAGGCCAGGAATGCCCTTTAAAGCCGCAAGCCGAGCGTTCATCGCAATCTGTTATGACGAAAACCCTCGCGCATGCGTAAGTAATATTTGATATTATATCAGGTGTATGTACACCTCACGAGACAGTACAGTCTAGAAGAAGAAGCTGGAGTTGTCATCCAGTGGGTCCCTCTCTGCGAATATTGACTCGTTTAAATGAAGAGGAGAGACGGTATATAAAATATAAAACAAACAGAACGCTTGTTGAAACGGGAGCAGACGTACACCATCAAGAAAAGCTGCGAGGCCTCGAGGGTTCGTTGCTTCTTTCTATAGCATCGTCGCTCCTTCTCATTTAAATGTATCTCTTGACCGCCTTCCTGCTTGCAGCCATTGGGCAAAGGTAAGCATAAGGCCAAAGCCTATGCATGCATGCACGCATGCATGCTGTTTTCCTTTCATCAGCTGAGGTGTATGTACTGTTTTGTGTCCAGCAAGGGAAGCGGAGGCCAAATAATATTTCTGCATGCAGCGCCTTTGCAATCAACAGCCGAAGAAAGCCCCAAAGAAGGCATTTATAACGCCTGCACAAATCGTAAGACGGAGGAGAAACAACGAACTGCCACTGAGACCAACGCCACTGTCTGTCTGTACAGCCCAACTATGTATAATTGTAAACGAGGCTAAAGGTAGGCGAGGGCTGCAACAACTAATAAAACAACAGCAGCACAGATATCTAAACTTCATTTAACAGCAGCAACGAAAGCAGACGAAGAAGATGCAGTCCCCTCAGCCCCTATTCCCATTTACCTCGCTCCTTCTCGCCTTGGAAGAAAAGTAATCATTGTGCGTCTCCGCTGCCTTTGCATGCATGCAGTCCTTCTCAAGCTAAATATATATATATATATATATAATAAATATATATGCACATATACGTAAATGATATACTGTCTCTGGCCTCAGCTCGACTACGGTGAAGACACCGCAAAGACAATTCCACTGTCTCTCGATGAAGACGCACTTCCCCTAGCCGGCTGAACCCCAGCTCCTCATAACCCTAAACCCTAATAATTAATAAACCCTAATAAACCACAATAAACCCTAAACAAAAAAAAACAAAGAGGGATCGGCTCCCCTTTAAATCTGCGGCCCTCCGTCTCCTCCTCTTCTGCTTTTACTGCGCTGCTCACACTGCCCCCACGTTCATTCAAGTTGAAGAAGATGCTGCAGCAGGAGATGTTGCTGCAGGAGCAGCTGCTGCAGCAGGGAGTCTTGTGGTGGGCAATGCAGCAGCTGCAGCAGGTGGTGCTGCGACAGAAGATGCTGCAGCAGGAAGTACTGCAGCAGCAGCAGATGATGCAGCACCGGAGCCAAGGAGGGCCTCCTGTAAGCCAGCTGTGCGGTACTTGCCCCTGCAACAAAAAGAAGAATTCAATATGCTGAGGGCCCTCATCTCTCAGCTTTTTCCTTTTTCGTGCGACACTAATCAACTACATTATCATGTAGATAGTAATGTGCGTAGCTAAGTGCAGATACACCTGAATGCATATAACAAACGATAAAAGGCGTAGGCTTGCCTATCACGAGGGAATCTGCAGTTATGTTTGCTGCTGCATGCATAAATAAGTATTAATGTTCTCTATATACGTCTCTAGACTAGGGCACCGCGGTCTAATCATTGAGAGACAAACGCAAGTGCATGCATGCATGCCCTTAATTTAGGTGTACATACACTCCGAGGCTGGCAGGACAGCACCTGTGCGAGACACCCGCGAAGAGGCGTTTGTCTTTTAAGTTGAGTTTAAATTTATCTGCTGCACGCTGTAGACCATATTTCTTTATTGTCTTGAGGCCCTTCATCGAAAGCCGCAGCCGCACGTAGTGCCCGCCCTCCGCCCACCATAGACGCTTCCAAGCTAAGTTTACTCGCTGCACTCGATGTGTACGTACACCTGAATGGCTGATGCTCCGCGCCTTCCTGTTGTCCATCTTCCCCAACAACATACACCTGAACAGAGATAAAAAAGACAATATATCAGCAGAAGCCCAGTTGCAACGGAGCTGCAGCACCAACCCCAGAAACATGCATAACAGGAACACCCATTAAAACAGCAACAGCAGCAACTGAAGAATCTAAGGCAGCAAATGGGTTAGCAGCAGAGAAATGGTCTCAGCAACAGCAACAGCAACAGCAGCTGCAGCAGCAGCAGCCTTACCTCCTGGCTGGTAAAATGATAGGGTTTGAAGGGAGGCCTGTAGCCTTTCTGACGCGGGGTTTGCCTCCTCCTCTTCCTTGAATTCTGTAATGCCTTGCGATAGAAGAACGACCAACACTTGTAAATTTCTTTCCCTGCAGATGCAGATCAGCATCAGCATGTTTCATAGACAGCCTTCAGGTGTATGTACAGCTGCCCGAGCCACCCAACAGTTTAGTCAATGCCATTACTCTGTCGCTTCAGGAAATCTGCGGAATAGAAGCAGCAGAAACTAATAATAACAAAAAGCAACAGGATGCAAACAGCTTACCATCAGCTGTTCTTTATACCTCTTCTCACTCATCTTAAGACCTAAAGGGCCCCACGGCTGTCGACCCCCTGCTGGAGACGGCAACCACCAGAAAGACAGGAAGGCAGCGGCTCCGCTTCCACCTGCTGCAGCAGCAATGGGGAGAGAAGGGCCTCGCTGCTGAGTAAGCAGGGGCCCTCTTTCTGCGTCCAGCGGGGGCCCCTGTGCTGCCTTGAGGCAGCGGGGCCCCTCCAGCGCTCTAGTGGGCCCCGCAGCAGCAGCTGCATACACCCCAATCAATGAACGCCCAAATGACCTTGTAGAGGCAGCCAGAAGTTTGTCAGCCACAGAGAGGAGGAAGAAAACAGCAAAAAAGATATTAGACATGAGAGAAGAGCACCGTCCAGGCCTCGCCGTCGGCTCTCCCACCGCCTTTCCCTCAAGACGAAGCAGGTTGCTCCAAAGCTTAAACCGCACGAATTGTACACAGACAGGAGAAAGAAATTATGAAGTATCTCCCGGTGTAGCCAGCCGCCGTTGCAGCCCAAGGTGAAGAACAGCCGACACCTTAAGAACGAGAAGGAAAGCGGAGGAGTTTCTCTGCCTTCTGCACATCACTGACGGCGAGAAATTGCCTAAAGGAAGAAAATTAATTCAAAAAAACTTTAAATTATGCAGGAAAGTTCAGCTTTCCGTGGCGGCATCCACAAGGTGGGGTGGCAGAGAGGGTTCAGTGCTTGGGCGTGGTTTCTCACAAACTGCTGGTATTCCGTAGCAATTTTTCGGTGGAGAATACTAATAAAAAGGAAACTGAACGATTAAAGCAGCTAATTTCAGTGAAAGAAGTTCTCTACGCCCCAGCTTGTCTCGCCAATCCAGGTCTGTGGTAGAAAGCCGAGCTGCGCAGACACTCCAGTTGTGTGTGTAGACGAGTATGGCAGGAGTATGGATGTAATTTACTTTCTTTTGCAATACTCTTCGTTATTATCGTTGTCGGCAGCTTCTTTCTTCAGCAAAACGTATTCGTTGCCTGCTACTTACTCTCTTTCCCTCGCGCCAAAGCAGCCATCAACTTGAGCAGTTTTCTTCAGCTGAAGCAAACTGTTCGGGAATCTTTGAGCTGTCGAGACACCGCGAGTATCTTCTAAAGAGTTACTTTTCCTGGAGGATCTTAAAGGCGTATTACACTTGAATTCGCGCATAAACGGCAGCTGCAGCAGCAGAAGGCCAGCCCTTGGAGGGGAAGGACATACTTTGTTTGCTTCTTGCGAATAAAGCTCGGGTGTTCTTAGTCTTGCAAAGCAGTAGGATACGATGGCGTGTTGCATGAGCAAGTTGCCTTTGGTAGCAGCAGGCAGTGGAGTTGCTGCGCTGCTGCTGTGCTTACCTTCATCATTATCTGGGTCGCAGTCGTTGCTGCAGCAAACAGACAGTAATCCGCTTCTCCTCCTAGGCATGCGGGCCCTTCTTAACTGCAGCTTCGGGGCTCTCTTTGGCTCAAGTGTTTGGGTCCTTTGCATTGGCTCTCCTCTCCTGCGGAAGCATCTCAACAGAAAGCAGCTGAGTACGTCGCCTTCTCTAATCTTCTGCTCCTTCCCTGCTTCCTTCTCTGTTAATTTGCCCTCTAAATAACCCTCTGTAGTAATAGATATTGCGCTTAGAGAAGGATATCCTTTTGAAGCGCACGCGTGCCTGCCTATGCATGTGTGTTTCCTAGTTCGTTTGCTTATGCGTGTGTGTGGGTGTGTGCAAGGCCATATGCGGGTGTGCGTGAATATATACATTATATAATATATATTAAATATATGTGTGCATGTGTGCGTATGTTTATATGCGTGTGTATGTTCGTGTGCGTGTGTGTATGCTTTGTGTGTGTGTGCGTGTGTGCGCGTGTGTGTGTGTGTGTGTGCTCTTACGTTTGTATGTATCTATATGTATGTATATAAGTGTGTGTGTGTGTGTGTGTCTTGTATGTGTGTGTATGTATGCATGGATGTATGTGCGTATATATGTATGTATGCATGGATGTATGGTTGCATGTATGTAGGTATGTACACATGTAATGTATGTATGCATGCATGCAATATACATATATACATATATATATATATATATATGTATATATGCTTGCATACGAATGTGTGTGTGTGTGTGTTGTGGTGTATGTACAGTTGCGTTTCAGTCGGAGCACTTGCCTTTATTTTCTTGTTTTTCTTCTGTCTTTTCTTCTCTTCTTCTGTTTACTACCTGCGAGTTGGCCCTCGATCACAGACGTCTACAAGCTGTTGCATGCGCCAGCGTCTTCTTTAATCTTGCAAACTCTTGTTTTATTATCCCTAAGCAAGTGAGGCATTTATTTATTCAATTTTATTCTTTAGCTTCATTCATAGGGGGTGCTCAGTTTGCTGCTGTCTTCTTTTTTTCCTTATCATCTTCTTTCTACCCTTACACCCGTGCACTGTATTAATACTAAAGAACAGGGCTTGTAGTTTGGCTTGGTGTTGTTGCTGTTGCTGCTGCTGTTGCTGCTTCTGTTGGTGTGCGAACCATTTGATTCGTGCTTGGGGCAGGGGGGTTGCTGCTGTTGCTGCTGCTGCGGCTGCTGTTGCTGCTGATTGTGTTTTTGCTGTTGCATTGTTCACCGTTGTTTTTGTTTCACTTGATGCATCTGCTGTTTATGTATGCTGCTGCTGCTGTTATTGCTGCTGCTATGGCTGCTGCTGCTGCTCCTATTGCTGCTGTTGCTGCTGCTGGTGCGACTATCGTTTTGTACGTCTACTGCTGTTTGTGTGCTCTGTTCTTTTGCATGCATTTCAGGTGTCTATTCTGCGTGAGAGAGAAGAAATGGCAGAGCGTCTGGGGGCGAAGCCTGATGAGCCTGCTGCAGCAGTGCTGTCTACGGCAGAAGCAGCAGCAGCAGGAGGAGGAGGAGCAGCAGCAGGACCTCTAGCTGTAGCAGGAGATGATTACATTCAGCTGCACAAGGCCTTCCGACGTTTGCATGCGCTTGGAATGGCTTCTTCTTTCTTGTCTCTCGGGTGTCTACTCCCTTTTCTTTTTGCTTAATAATAAATACTTTAGTTTTGCTGCTACACAATCCTGATGATAATGGCTTGCTTTCTGCTGCAGTCTGTCGCCTGTCCGCTGCATGCATTCAGGTTCTGTTTTTGTGTTTTTTCTGGGTTAGAGGCAGAGAAAGGAAAAGGCGTCTGGCGAAATAATATATAATAAACAGAATGAGTTGCGGTCTTTCTTTAATTGGGGGTTGTTGCACACACTTTCGGGTGTATAGACAGTGCAACACTGCATGCATGCATGCATGCATGCAGGCGGCTTGTTGCTGCATGCATGCACGCATGCATGCTGCATGCTTTAAATGAGGACAGACGCTGCATGCAGAGATGAATGATTGACTGGGTAGAGGAAGGGCAATTAACTTAGAAAGGAATAAGGCTGGGGGCGGTCTCAGTGAGGAGAAGAGAGAGAAATAAATAAGATTTTATTATATAAACCAGCAGCTTCTGCAGTAGTAGGCAGCATTCACTCAAGTCGTACGTATATGCAGTTTAGGTATAAATATCAAAATATGCTGCAGTGTATATTATTGTAAGCAGAACGAGGGAGAACACAGACGCTAAGTACAGAGAGAGTAGCGTTGGTTGTTGGGGTGCCGATACTCTTGAATATAATGTAAAATAGAATAAATAGTAGTTTTATTTGAAGCATCACTTTATATGAATAGAAAGGGGAGAAGGATGCAATGAAGGGTCCTTGGCTCTTCTATTGAATAGATGCCAGTAAAAAAAATAAGGCGAAGTTAATGGAAGAACTTCATCATGCTGTCTATATTTTTATATACAAACAAATATTCAATAAAGTGATTCATAGCTGTACATACACTGCACGGCTGCATATTGCTGCCGTGCGAGCGCGCCACAAATGCGGTGGCTCCAGTGTCGTATCTTTCTTTATCTGCAGCAACAACTGCTGCTGCTGCTGCTGCTGCTGCGCAACCATGTGCAAGCGCTGCAGCAGAAGCAGCAGCAGCAGTAGATAGCAGCTGCTGCTACCAACTAATAACGGTGCAGTAGCAGACCCTGTTCTGGCCCTTGCTGCATGCTTCAGCTGCTGCTCGTACTCGAGCTGCAGCCACAATTCGAAGCAGCCATTCCTGCAGCAGCTGCAGAAGCAGCAGCAGCACCAACACCACCAACGGCAGCAGTTGTTGTTGCTGCAGCAGTCACCAGCTGCAGAAGCAGCAGCAGCAACAGCTGTTGTTGCTGCAGCATCCAACAACGGCAGAAACAGCAGCAGCAGCAGCAGCAAGAGTAGCAGTTGTAGTTGCTGCATCACTCAGGGAGTATTATTTTCATGTTGATACTCGGCTAAGAGTTGCTGCGCGTAGCTAACTGCGTTAAGCGGCTCTTGCTGCGCTGCTGTGCCTTCAACAGTGGAGAAGAGAAGCCAGCTTGTTTCTGCCCATAGACGAGCGTATTTATTTTTTAGAAATGCATAATCGCCCATCGCTAAGTCCCGAGCCCAGCGGTCAAAGGACTGCAAGCAAAAAAAGAAGAGAAAAAGGAAAAAAAGAAAAGAAGAGAAAATAAAATGCAAAGAGATTAATCACATCCGTATTGAAATAAGCAACAAACAAACAAACAACAAAAACGAACAAACATTATATTCATTTACTACAACATCAATCCACTAACAATCAATGCCCTTATTATTGTGCAGCTTTTCTTGCTAGTCTTCAGTAAGTGCATGCAGTAATCGTATTAAATATTATCACTGTGTCTTTGTTACATATTATATATATATGCATATATATAAATATGCAAGCATGTATCATATATCACATCATATATGAAATATGAGATATAGTATATATAATATACATTATAATATTATTATTGTATAGGCGCTGCCAAATAATAAAATTTGAGTGTCTTCACACGCGTTTATCTTTTTGATAGAACAACAAAAAAATAATTCTTTACATTAATCTAATTAAATGAATGCGCAAAGTGTGTGAATATGCTTCTTACCTACAAATATTGAATATATATATATATATATATACATATATTTATTTACATTTACATATATATATGTGATGCTGTTTAAAGCTATATATTGTTAGCTATAAAATGCAAGTTGTCTTTAAAATATTGCAAATTATACACCGAAAAAATATAAATTCTTCGTGGTTACCGGTACAGAGATCAATATATTTACTTGTAAGTACAAATGCACACTTCTACACACGCATATATAAATACTGTGCATATACTTAGACATAAACGCATATAAATGTATATAAATACAAATATATATATATATATATATATAGATGTATACATACATACATATAATAAATATATATATATATATATAAATATATATATATACATAAAGATGTATACATATAATAAAGAAGGTATGAAGACCGGAACTGGCTTTGTTGTCTTTTGCTGCAATATAATTATTATTTCTGAATAATTAATTATTTAAAAGCACAAATGCAATAATAATAAAACTTTATCATTTTAATACACTTACATAAGGGTAACAACACTAATAATAAATTACTCAAATACACTTAAATAATAATAGTATTTAGTATAATTATTTAAGGACAAACCCCTTTCTTTCCCTGAAGTCTATAGAAGCAAATGATGTGATAGACATTTCTTCTGGCTTCTTCTGAAGGCATAAATACTTCAGCTGTCTCCAATTCAAACAAATTCTTTCGGTGGCTGAGCATAAAGATAAATTCATATAAAAGAAAAAATGCATTTATTTAAAGAAACAAATATGCTGTTTTTCCTTTCCAATAAATTTGTTATTATTTTCTTTTCTATTTTAATACATATAGTATATGTATACATATATACAAATATAATATATATATATATATTGATCTATACTTGCGATTATGCTTATGTATATACATATACGCTGTATATATGATATATGCATATATAGTTACTGCCACATACATGTACATCGATATATGTATCCAAGCAGGAAATGTTGTGCACTAGAAGATGAAATACATGCAAAAGTACTAATATAAAAAAGAATACATAAAATGCCTGGCGCTTCAGGTGTATGAACAGAAACCGCTTCAGGAGCAGCAGGTTTATTAACGTGGTGGAGTGTATGTTGATTTCTTTTTGCAGGAAATACTCAAGCAAAAGGATACATATTTTTTCATTTTAAAGAAAAAAGAATATATGTTATAGGGTGATTGCAAGTCTGCGGTGTTGTACCTGTACGTAGGGAAATGAATCCTGAGGCAGAGGTCTTCTTCTCTTTCATCTATTTCTTCTTGAGAGAGAAGAGAAACAAAAAATGCATTATAGTTCATTTGCAGTACCAACGGAGACTCCACAGAGGGCAGAGTAGTGCAGAGCTGCAGCGCCTGTTGAATACACAAAAAATTATTGATGCTAACGGTTCCAGATACCCTATCAACGCCTTCATGTTTATAAAATAGAGATAAATATAAAAGCAGATATAAATATATATGTATTTATTTATTTACTAGTTATTAGCTTCATTTTGTGCCTAGCCTCATCTACATGACAGCACTGCAAGCAGCCGCGTGTGCATCCCGCTGGGGTGTACATGCCCCTACCACTTCATTTGTGTTAAGAATAAACACGGCAACTCTTTGGCTCCGCACTGAGGCGCTTGCATGCATGCAAGCACGCAAACATGCATGCAAGTAAACATGCATGCATGTATGCACGCAAGCATGCATGCAAGTAAACATGCATGCACACGCAGGCATGCAAACGCATGCATATAACCGTATGCATGCGTGCATGCATTCACCTGTCGTGTAACAGTGAGCGTAACGTCGAAGAAAGGCTGATTATTCCCCACAGCGACGGGAGAGAGACCGAATAGATGCTGCAAATCTTGTCCTTTGCACGTAGCTTCAAAGTCCGTTTCTTTCTATGAGATACAAGAAGCGCAACGCATGCAAACATACAACAACGACACAATTCATTAACCACTAGGCACTCCACCTCTGCTGCAGCTGCACCTAGACCCATTAGTTAAATAATAAGCCCCCTTTCAAAGCGCCTCTCCCTAATAAAGATATATATATATACTTATTTATTTATTTTACATATGTGTATTATTTTGTGGGTGTCAACCATTGCAAAGGCTGCATTTACGTCGAATCCTTCTCGCCCGAGAGGCCAAGGAAGTGCAGTAGCAGCAGCACCGCACACCAGCAGCCCTTTTTTCTTTTTTATTTACATTAATTATATAAACATATTACAAGCCCTTCGCTCTCACTTTAGTTAGCATCAGAAGCATCGCTCTCGCCGTCTCATCGTCGATAGTCACCGGCCCCTTAACTGCCAGAGAATAAACAAAAGGACTCCCGTCAGACACCTCCAGCCGCCGTGAAGCCCGCAACTGAATGTACTTCCCCACCTGTGTAGCAGCAACAGCAGCAGCAGCAGGAGCAGAAGCAACAGCAGCCACAGCAACAGCAGAAGCAGCAGCACAAGCAACAACAGCAGCCACAGCAACAGCAGCAGCAGCAGAAGCAACAACAGCAGCAGAAGCAGCAGCAATAGCAGCGAAGGCAACAACAGCAGCACAAGCAACAACAACAGCAGCAGCGGCGACAGCAGCATCAGAACTTGCTTAAAATGTCAAAGGGGCCCAAAGCATGCAAGCTGCATGCGTTTGCACACATCCAGTGCATGCAGGGCAATGGGATATAATGTAGAATATACATATGCGACAGGATATATATACAAATATATATATATATATAGCAGCCATAATATATATGTTATATATATACGCGTACATCATATATATAATATTATATATATTTGTGCGATTTCTCTTGTAGCTACAGGAAGCATCTACACGTGGATATGCGTGCATGCGCCATAGACAGGCATTTAAAGCATACATCAGCATACACCCTCAGCACTCTTATCATAGAGAAACGATAGAATATAAACAATATACAACCAATATGTACTCCAAGTAATATGCACGCTTGCATGCATGCATGCATGCATCTTGTTCAGTAAAGGTGACGGAATATATATACACTATACAATCAGCGTTCCCACAGAATAGAAAGCATGCATGCATGCATGCATGCACTGAGTAGGTGAAGACTAAATGAAAAGGGTAGTGTAATGGGTATTATAAGGGTTTACATGTCTATGCCCTAGCCGGAAGACAGGCCCCACAGACTCGCACTTGTCCGGGAAAGAGGGATCTTTCCCCTGCCTGTTCGCTACAAACCACTCCACTACGCGAGCCCCTAAACGGCCACCACTCCGCACTGCCAAGTCGTTCAGGCGCACTTCTTTGCCTGAGACAGAGACGGAGACAGAGACAGGGAAAGAGAGAAATACATATATATATATATATATACAGACAGATAATGAGACAGATGGAGAGACAGAGCGAGGGGGAAACCCAACACACACATACACACATACACATACATACACACACACACACACACACACGCATACGAAAAGACTGAGGGCGAGAGAGAGAGGGAGAGAGACACAGAGGCAGATACACAAACATATACATATATATATATATATGTATATATATATAGAGAGAGAGAGAGAGATACATAGAGAGAGAGATAGAGAAACGATGCACAAATATAGACACACGTAAGCGTTAAGCGCATACACGCTTGAATCAGCAACACATAAAGAAGCGTTAAACGGCTAATGCCGGCGATACCCCCACAGGACGACGATGCACTCCACACGCGGTCAGTGGTATGCATAGATGCATTGGATGCACTGGGCATGCATGTTTGCTAGATGCATGCATACTAGATGCACTCATACTGCACACCTTGTGTATGCATGCACTGCGCATGCATGAAATGCGTATGGATACTGTACGCATCCATGCGGAATGCATGCATATGCGGGGTGGGACGGTGTTTGCTGTTTATATTGAGTCAGGCAAAATAAGAATAGATAGAATTAGTGTGTACACCTCACCGCATTCACAAGGGCCTTCAATGGCAACCGGGTACCTGGAGGCGTGACGGGCGTTGATTGCTTCTTCGTCTTCTTCTGCTGAGGAGTCGCTGCTGTATTTTTTGTTCTTCTGCACAACACAAACCCAACAAACAAATAAACAAACGAACAAAAAAATGAATACAACAAACGCAACACGGGCTGAGCTACGGCCGTCAATGTACGTAGAGTACACTTGCAAACGTTCACAAGTAACGCCTGTTCTTAATAGGCATCCAAAGGTATGCTTGCATGCATGAATGCACGCATGCACCTTTACAAGAAAACACTATACATCATCAGCGGTGGGTTGCTTTATCATTTGTATAATTCGATGTGTATGTACTCCATTTGTTCTGCGCCGTGCGACTAGCAGAGGCAAACGGCACCCGACGCTCGTCCATGGAGCAGTTAGGTTGAACAGAGAAAAGCACTTAATTCATACTGGCTTCTCTCCTCACCAAGAAGTCTAGCGACGGCCTCTCCACTGCACAACGACAAGCTTGATTGCCGTGCAAAGGACAGCCTGTCCTCGCCTGGAGAGCTTGTGGCTTCCTTCTCGCCTTCATCCGTCTGTATATAAAAAGAACAAAGCAATAAACGCTCAGTGTACACCCTAATAGATGGAAAGAATGGCTCATGCTTGCGCTGCTGTACAGACTCCATGCACTGACAAGGGGAGGGAGTGCCTATGGTTTTATATATTCACTTTTCATTACTGAACTGAAGTGAAATGAAACAACCAACAAATCTTGCAAGCTAGAAGCATGGGGTCTACGACAGAGACAGAGGTAAAGAAGCGGTTGTTGTTGCTGCTCCTGTCTCACAGATATATGTTAACAAATACTTCATGCTGCTGCTGCTGCTGCACAAATATATCTAAGCAAGCACTCGATGCTGCTGCTGTCTTCCACGAGTGGAATGATCACATCGCTGTACTACTGTACACGCCCCACTGGCGTGAAGAGGAACAAGTTGCTGCTTCTGTGATGCAGCAAGTCTTCTATTAATTGCTATTAACAAATGTACAGCTTGAAAGTGGGTTATTTAAGAGGTGAACAAGCCTAGGAGAAGATATAGCTGTAAACGAGTTCTTTCCTCCTCACGCATTTTCTCTGCTTCGTTCCACTTCAGAGTCGTAGCCGTCTGAGCCATCACTGGACTTTGACCTCTCCCTCAACTCCACTGAACTCGCAAAAAACGAAGAGAAGAAGAGCCTCTTCCTTATTGTTCATCTCCTTTCTGTTTTACCGCTTTACTTGCTCCTTTTCGTCTCTCTCAATGTCTATGATAGTAATAAAGGTAGCCGCCGAAATGCATGTAGCTACTGAAAACGCATTCATGCCTTATAGTGAAGTTCCCAAGGGAGAAACGTGAAATGCAAATGCGTGAAAAGATGCAATTCTTGTTCGTGCACAGGAAGACGGCTGAAGTGAACCACTGTTTTGATCGACGAGCAATTGCCTCTAGACACACTGATATTCACAAACAAACAGTTCACATAATAAACGACGGCAAGCATTTGTTCACTCACGCGGCCTAGCCTTGGGAACTGCCTTCATGCCGAAGCAGTGTACCTATGAACAAAACAATAAAAAAAACACAGAAGAAGACTGCATGCAGATGCACTAGGACAAAGCAGCTTGCTAGTGCGTAGGCTAGCTCTGCTGCACATCTCCAAGTCTATTATTGCAGGGGATAGCGCTGCCTCTGCAATGCTCCATTCCACTGTTTACATACCAGACAAGGCGTTTCAAACAAAAAAGAAAGTTAACGATACGACGACAAAATGAATGCAGAGCAGAGTGCAAAGGTGAACACCGTGCCTAGCTGGACTGCCCATCATAATATTTATTGACTATAGTTTACAAACACATATGCTATATATATATATATATATATATCCCCATTGTATATTATATATCTGCACCCACTACGGCTTTGTTCTCTACAGCTAAAGGTTTACAGTGTAGGCCTTTAGCATAAAATTGAGAATGAACACAGGGTTGAGGGTGTAAGGCTACATAAAAGCTTGAAACTCTGCGTGCAAGTTAGCTATATTACCTGAATTCCAAAAAGGGTAACGACGAACTCCCCAAAGAGTTCCGCCTCGAGAGAGTTTTCGAATTCAAATGAAAGGGAAGCCGTGTCGCCTTTTTCCGTCTTCACATAGACGTCTGTCCTCTAAAACAAACAAAGCACCAACTTTTCCTGTACAATTTGATTCCAAATACCGAGATATGCACTCCCCATATACCCTAGAACAACGCATCTATACATATATGGCCTCTGTGCAACTCAGATAGCGTTTGCTGCGGCGCAGCGAACCTCCAGAGAACCTTCGCCAATGTTCAGCGAAAGACAGGATGGTAAGTAGTTGCAAAAGAAGAGGCTTACAATGTCATGTCTTTGCATGTACTTTATGTGGGAAGTGCGTATTTCCTTAAGTTCACGCCCCGACCGATCACAAAGGAGAATTCTGCACACGGGGTCGTTGAGGAGCCTGAGGAGGTATTCCTGACGCCGGCCTTCAATGGTAAAGAAAACCCGAAAATTTCGATTTCTCAGCTTCGCCCGGCTGGGGGTAAACCGCCGCACTGTGGGCCCCTTGTAAGTAGCTAAAGCTGCAACAAACAGCAGACAGGCAACATTTGTTTGTAAGTAGTTGAAAACTCAAGAATGCGCCTTCTTGCAGTACGAAGACGATCGCGGTTTGGGGTTCATACACCACCGAACCGAGCCCGCTGTAAGCAAAAGTACACGCGGTTGGGGCTGGCTAGATAGAAGAAGAGCTCTTATGGTTGTGCTCTAATAGTCCTGTTGTCACCTCCTTCTCTCTGAGGCGTTTGCTTCGACGGATCAAAGAATAACACATTTTCCAACATCCATTCCTCTTCAGGTCGAACCGACGCAGACGCGCGCGGTTCTGACCCGCCGGCAGTGGAAGCAGCGCCTCCCATGAGCAAATCTGGGAAATTCAATCATAAATACAATTAATAAACAATTCAAAAGCAAATAAGATTGCGAAACGGAAGCGGAAAGTCAGTCGACCGAGTTCTTGCAGGCTGAAATCGACGAATACTGAGTCTCGACTTCAGACGAATCACTCCTTCAGGCCGAGAAAAAAACAAATTTAGCAAGAAGTAACCTTCAGTTAGTAGGACCTGCTCATTACCATTTAGTGAAAAAGTCAAAAAAAGACTGCGGAGTTGTTGTTATGTCACAGTGGCGGAAAATGTGCAAGGGATGGCACAGGAAGTTTCCTCGAGCTTCCTCTAGTTTTCCATCTCGCAGCGGCTAAACTACAATTAGCACTCATCAAATGCAATTTAAATGAGAATTACAGATGAAAAGATTAAACAAAATGGTAGCAGACGCATCCGCTGCATGACGCGTTCCTCATGCCATGTAAGCGCATGTTTCTTGTTTCGACTGGCAGTGGCCATTGGTCTGTTTAACAGCTTAGGGAGTGCTGCCTCACCCAAATGCTTTAAAGCTCTAGTTTATTGCAAGATCACAAGTAATTATTTTACAAATACGAAGAACAGGAAGCCGCTTGAGGAGGTTCTCCCTGTACATGCATCGTCCTTCGTACACACTCTAGAACGCCGCTTTGTGCCTGGAGTGTCGACAGGCGGGCAAAGTTGCTGCAAACCAATATTAATTTTAGAACGTTTACACTTTTTCACTACTATTAATGCAACAAGGCCATAAAAACAGATGAACCACAAGCATGAGTGCCCCCGGCGTTAGGGAAGTGTTAGTCGTTGGGATGCTGTCAATGAGATCTAACGAAGAGCAGACGGTATCTCCTCCTAAAAACGAAGTAGAATACGTTAGAGCGCCTCTTCTTCCCTCCTTGCGATGCTTTACGTCTTCTTTTGGCACTTTGTTTTCCGCTTTCCCTCGATGCCCCCAATGCCCATAAACCGAAAAGCGAAAGTGCCTGCACATAGTATTTCCTGTATAATTCACGAGACACAACTGCATGAATGCTGCGCAGTTGCATCTCATCTAAATTATAGGCGCATGCAACTGGTTGCATGCAATGCGCTTTCAACAGAGTTGCTTGGATGCATTTGCTTCCAACCTGGAAAACAAATTTGGGTCCTGCGGCGCTCGTCTGCAGACGCTTGAACAAATACTCATCCGCAGATGGCTTTGTACCCCTGCGAAGGTTTTTGGCTCTCGCTTATATTCCTGCTTTCCTGGCTTTCAGTTGTATTGATGTTCTCGTATTTCTCAGTTTTGTCATTATTCTTCGATGGCATTGTTCCAACTATGGCTGCCCCATCTCACGCCCCTCCTCATCCATCAGTGTGCCTATGGAGCGACTGCAAACCGAAGCAACTATTAGGCAGAGAAAATGGATGTTTGCCCCACAAATACAGTCGTAGAACAACAAAAATATATTTAAAAATTTCAAGGCAACAGGAGGTACTCCCTCCACTGCGCAGAGACTGCACGCCATGCAGGGTGCCACAGTGCGGACGTTTCAACACTTTAAATTCTTAGCAAGAAATCCCTCCGGGATCCTGCTCAAACCTCATATATGTCGGTGGCCTGTCCACCAGCAGACCCCTGCGTGTGCGTGTGCATATTGAGGGGGAGAAACAACACAAACTAATCGTCGCTGCGGGCTTCCAGTGCAGCATCACTGTACAACAAAGCTATAAGGCAGCAAACAATGAGGACAGCGGATACTTGTCTGCTACCGGTCCCACTGTATACGGAGGAGAGTGAAGAAAACCCTACCTAAACCGTACTGCATCCTTGCCCACAGGTGCTTTACGGGAAGAATATGCAAATTTCATACACGCATCTTCTATTGGTCTTCTTGTGCGTCAGCATCTGAAGACTGCTGCCGAGATGATGCAGCTCCCGAGAGCTGTTCAACTTCATCCAGTCTGAGTTGAAAATATTCTAGTTGCCGCTGCAGTTCGTCGCATCTCTGAGAAGCTTCTGCCTCTCTTGTTGCTGCCTCGGAGACAATTGTCGCTGTCTTGGCTTCCAACTCCTGCGCCTCTATTACCTTTTTCAGGAGATCACTGTGGGTGTCGCTGATACGGCGGAGGAGCGATTCCCACTCTCCCTCCAGTTCGTTTGTTTGGTTGGTGTGAGAATGAACTACGCTTTCTTTCTCTTTTGCAGAGGATACCAGCTCGTCTACTGCCAGCCGCAGCTCCTCTTGTCGCTTCCTGTTATCTGCTGAAACCACTTTCGCCAGGCGGAGGCCCTGAGCAAAGGTCGACATATCTAAAGTGCTGCACACAGCAGCCAAACGATAAATGGCACCGTCTTTCCAACTCTTCTCCCCTGCGGAAATCGAAACACATCAGACGGCCTCTCTTTCTTTTCGACAGCGGAGCTGTCCATTAAACATAATGCAGCCTAAAGTTATCTACAAAATGAAGAGAGAAACGAATAGGCACATGTCCTTTGTATGATATGTACGAAGAGAGTTAACAGACAGAGGAAGGAAGCCATTATGTGGCACTACTGTATGCATGCATGTATGCACACATTTAGGCATGCACTGGTACCGGCATTTCTGCTTGCAGTGCAGCCACAAGTAACCACAGAAAAGGGTGAACGAGTTGTGAGTGCGTATCGTCTGCTGCTCACCCGACGCAAAGACGTGCAGCATTGTGCTTGGATCTCCCGTGGCCACTGCAAGGCTGTGAGAAGGCAGGTTGGCGAAGGGAGAAAGCAAATTAACGGAAAACCAACTAGACACTTCAATGTCGAATGCATTCATATCTACAGAACAACCGCACATTGCAGCAGCGAACATACACACACGCAGAGGCACATAAAATCGGATAATAGGATGAAGCAAACAAACAACACACAGAAAACAGAATACAGCATACAGCCACGACACTCTCCGTCTCACGGTTGCAAATAGTAGGAACAGTAGAGCTGCAACAGACTGGAACGACAGATAAAACGCCATTAGGTCGCCTCACCGAAGTATGAAACTTCCCATCCCAGCCAGTGCTTTCCAAGTCCACCGAAAATAAAGCAACGAGGACCTGCAACAGTAGCCGAATGCCTGCAGTAAGGAGGCCCACGCAAAGCCCAACTGTACAATGACTGCAATTGTTTTTGGTTCTTTTTCTAAAATCTTATTCAGCACACTATTATTAACGATCAGGGCAGCATCAGCAACAACAAGAATGCAAGCAGCAGCACAAATCACACACGCACCCGTGGCGCTTTGCAGGCGGTGTTCCTGACGCATCTCCTATGCAGTGCCATGTTGGCTTCTTAGAGCCGAGCGGCAAAATCCAAAGGTCATTAGTGTCTGCTCCATCCACTAACCCCCCAAACTGCACCAGATTCTCTCCCGTAGTGGCCCCCTCAACAAGGCTCAGGGTGTGATGCGTCCTGGGAGGTGGATCGTCCTGATTTCCAAGCAGCTTCCACTCCTCTGCATCATTCATTAAGAGCGAAAATCAACACAAACATCAGCTGATAGAAGCGAAAGCGACAGAAAGAACACCAGCAGCAGCCTATACACAACCAATAGCAGCACCAACTACAGCTACTGCAGCAAACGAGAGGCAGGTGATTTCATATCCCATTTAAGACACAACAAACAGCTCGCGACGTAAACAGCAGCACGGGAAATATGCATCGTTATGCAGAAGAGAGGCGTTCCATCCTCTGCACAACAAGCTGTTAATCTGGTTCGAGGCACTAGTGTCGAGCCTCACTTCCCCCTGCTAATTTCCAAGTTCCCGCCAGAGCTTTTCCGTCCTCTCCTTGACCCCCAAAAACATAAAGTGACTGGGTCTTGGCAGAGAAGGCTGCAGCATGAAAGCAGCGCTTGGGCGGTTTCTCTCCTTGACACTTCACCTTTGACCACTTGCGGCTCGCCGCGTTGTAGAAAAAGCAATCGTCTACAATCTCCCCCTCATGAGAACGACCCCCAAACACGAAAACCCCTCTAATGTCCCTGATGCGGGCTGGCGTCAGAGACACGCCCAGCGCTGCTTGCGGCTGCTCTCCGCTCCCTTTCTCCTCTTCGAGTCTGCAGCAGCAAACCAAGAGAAACAAAAACACACTTAGGACCAGCTTCCCCGTGTTCCACACGAAATGCGATGCGTGCAGCTCAGCGTTCACAATAACAGCGGTGGGTGCCGCGCTAGCAGAAACGATGGCTGCTATTGGAGGTGAGGCTGATCAGCTGTGGGCCTATTTTGTTCCGGTATTTTGTACTTCCTTCTCAAAGCAAGCTGAAGCTGCCACAGGGAATGAGTTAGCTGTGGGCTTGTGTAGTTGTGCTGTTTTGTACCTTCTTCTCCTTGGGTCATACACAAGAAATGATGCGGGAGTGGTAGGGGTCTCGACGGTCCAAAGGGCGACTTTAGAGCCCAAGTCTGCAACCATGAAGCTGCAGAGCGCCTGACAATCCGGCCAGTTTGCAGTTAAGCTGACTACGAACTCGGGGGGAGAACTGCCGTTGGCGGGAGCCCTGAAGTGATTTCTGCCCCGCGCTTCCTCTTTTCCCGGCTCCGCGTCCCACAAAGACAACCGTTTCAGAGCAAATTGCAATCTCTGGTCATATGCAGAGAGTGGTGCAGGAGGAGGCCCCTTCAATTCACTTCCTAGGTATGTTGGTTTCCTCTTCGGGGCGTCGGTGATGCTACTGCTTCCTCTTCGAGGCGTTCGAGGGGAGAGCTTCTCGGCAGGTGACGGTGAAGCATTTGTCTTCGGTTTATTCTCTCTCGGGGTTTCTGCTGGAGAGGCCGCTCTGCTATCTCCTGTTTTTTCTTGTGCATCCGTCTTCCCGTTCTTTTTGTCCTCCCTTTCCCTCGCCGCCTCCCCAGGGCCGGGTGGCTTCCTTGAGTTTTGGCGGCTCACTGCTGCGCTCATCTCCACGCAGCCTTGCAAAGGAGAAGGGATAATTTCGGTGTTTTAATTGTGCCTTCACCTTCTCGGTTTCTCTAGCCGCTTGTAGCGGGAATATCCCTGAAGGTGCGGCAGCAGCTCACCCTTCGGGTTTCCATGGAACAGCACGTCCATGCGAACTCAAATTAAATACACAGTGAAGAGAAAATTACGAAATTTGAAGCGAATTCCGTAGACACACGCTGCGAGTCACCGATGGTCCTGGCTGTGGTTCGAAGGCGCCACCGCACACCTGGGGGCACACACGCGCTGAAAACGAGAAAGGAGGAGGTTTTTTCAACCTTTTTTCTTGAATAAATTGAATTTAACCCCATTAAAAAACGTGAAACCTCGGGTATTTATTGCGTTTCTCACAGATGTGCTCAGTATCACGCCCTGGTCGATGTGGGAAGAGTGGCCGCCGCACTCTGGTGCCTCAGTCATTGAGGGGAGGAAGGACGGCCAGGTTCTATCGATGTATATTTGTGCACCGCCCTCCATTCCCGAGGTAAAATAATTCTATTTGAGCTTATTTAGAAGAGAACGTTCTTTGTGAAGATCATGAGAATGGTTAATCTCTTGTTCTTTTCGTGGCTCGCTGGTCACTTCGCGTGGGCTGGCAGGTGTGTCGTATCTTGGGCACAGTCTCCGTCTTTTGAAGCATCTGCTTCACATTAGGATTATTTTTTCGATTTCGCGAGTTAAATGTGAATAGAAGTAACCCTAAGAGAAGTTTCCGACTACCTTCGCCCTCGCCGCCCCCGCAGATCACGCTGATATCCTGGGGTCAGAAAATGCTTAAATGCTTGTTTGCACCCTTGGCTTTTTGTCTGCAAGAGATACAATTAAGTTAAGCTGTTTGGTTTACAGAGGATCCCTTTGTTACTCTAACAGCCTTATGGGCATCAGTGGCCTACCTTCTCGCTGCAGGTGTTCTGTGTTGTTTAACACAGAAAACAAAGCAAAATAGCAGCACTTTCCTTCTTGCACTGGTGATACGGGCATCAGTAGTTGCCCCTTAACAAAACTTACATTTCTTTTTGACTTAACGCAAAGAGCCCACCATTCATATCCCCGGGATGCTTCATCACTGTCCAAAGCGCAGGAGTGTTGCGCTGTGTGGACACGACCGCTGACGTGTCAGGTTGTAAAGGTTTAAGTGACTTGTTAGATACCTTTGTCAGTCGTTTTCACACAGCTTCGCGCTAGAAAGAAATGGGAACAAATTAACAACAGAACCCACTCCGTAGCCCTCAGGGAATATCAGGTGGGCCTCCTGGTGCAAGTTCAAAGCTGTGAGTAGCAGCAATAGTACAAGTATTACTAAAAATGGTGTTGATATATATTTAAAAAATGGAGTTGCAGTGCTTGCATTATGTGTCTACATATATACAAAGATAGGTTGTTACCCTTCTGTCATAAGTAAAGAATAGACAAACAAAAATTCGATTCTCAATGGTAAAAAGTCCACTTGTATCTTAATATAACGCTATAAGAATTAATATTCTACTAGCAACGGTAGAAGTACTAGGTATATCTTTGCAATGGAGGTGCATTTACAACATGGGCTGAACAGCTTTCAGTCGTTCTAAGGTTTGCTGTCGCTGAAGCTGCTGCAGTGACGACGGCTATTCCATGCGAACAATTTGAAGTACTTATTCAGAAATTCCTTTTTCGGAAGCGTAGGAAACGCCTGGTGTCTCCCCCCCTCCTTTTCCCTTTCTCTTTGCTCGCCGTTACACCTAATTGGAGTACAGCATCGGGGTACATCTCAGCCGCATATTCAACAGCGAACAACAAAATCAAACCGATGCTGCTAGCTGCGAGTTTATCAGCTGCTGCAGGTGCATTATTCATTGCTTGTTCCATCCGATGTCTTCTGTCACTGTTCATCTTTCAAATGTGAAGCAAACGCAGCCAAACAAACTGGAAAGACGAAGGCCACCAAAAGGCAAAAAGGAAGTGAACTTAACAATAGCATGAGAAGCCTTCCAGAAAAATGTATTCAACTTCCTCAGAAATTTCAAACGAAAAACACACGCTATCTGTGTGCGCAGGGATGTCAGTGCCACGCCGGTTAAGACCAACACTGTTATTCGACTGCCGAAGAAACGCAGCAAAGTGCAGCAATGTGCCTTTCGAGATGTCGTTTAAGTACTTTTACTGACGAAAGAAAATAGCCTTGAACAGGAACGCCGGCAGGTACAGCACCACCGGCAGCCCAGCTGTCCTTACTAACGAGGTTAATACGATAATCGCCCTCGGACTTAGGATGTTAACGTCTAACTACGCGAACAAAACATCGTATGCCTCGTCTGCCCTCTATACTGTGAACTAACGGCTAAGGCGCTACTGCTGCACTGTCTTGAGAGCTCCTCTAGGCTATTACACCAGCACTGGAACGACGCGTCTTGTCCAAACCATCAACAAATGAAACAGGTCAGTTGTGGAGCACCAGCGGCTGCTGCTGCGGCAGCTGCAGCAATAACTGCTACAGCAGCTGCAACAACTGCTTCAGCAGCTGCAACAACAACTGCTACAGCAGCTGCAGCAGTCGCCCCGGGAAGTGAGAGGAATAATGCGGCACCGAAACAAAGCGAGACGCAAAAATATGCGCCCCAACGCACGACCCCCTCATCCCCCTTTGCCCTCCTCGCACTCCTACAACGCCACAGCTGCAGCAGCAGCAGCAGCAGCAGCGCCAGGTCGTCCTGCAAACTGCTGCAGCGTGCTGCGTGTGAAGAGCGCCCGAGACCCCCTGATCAGCCTTGTGAGTTCTGGATTTAGAATTTCATGGCGTGGGGAGCCATGTTCGAGCGCAGGGTGAAACGTGTTTTAAGGTACTGCTTCAGGAGTGCATCCTTGTTGACAACAGCAAGCAGTGCTTTATCAACTTGTTCCTGAAGTTTCTTTCTCTCCTCGGGGAGTGTCTTCTGCGTTGCAGTGTCTTGTTGAACGAACATCGAAGTGTCGTCCTTTGTGCGCATCTTCCTCTCCTCTCTCTTCTCTTTGGCAGTGCGGGTGAAGAGGCTATCAGTGATGCCGTTCAAGTTAACACCAGAGACGTCGATCTTTGTGCTGGTGGCGATCACATAGCGCGGGTTAACGCGGCGGAGGGGAACCCCATTAACAGTGAAGGGCCCAGTAACGAGGAGAAGGCCTGAAGGCTCCAGCTGCTTCAAGCACACCACACGCTTCCCTCTGTAGCCGCTGCTCAGCAAGATCAATACCGTACCAGGAGTAATGCTCTTTCGCAGTTTACATGAGGTCTTTCCAAGAGCTTGACGCTTTAAATCAGTTGCTCTCTTGTTCTTCCGCCTCAGACGAAAACGCCCGCCACGCGCACCCTTCCCTGCTGCTGCTACGGCAGCGCCGGCGGAGGTTCTCTTGGCTTGGCTCATTTTGCTGTGAAACGCAAAAATTATACCTTTTCCTTCAAAGAGAAACGCCCACACAGCACATTCAAAACGCTGGCAGCAGAGAGCAACAAAGGCATGCACAGCAGCAGCAGCAGCCGCAGCAGCAGCCAGGTGAGTGAGGGGCGTGGGGTGGGGCGCGATGGAGGCCGCTTCCGTTCATTGTTGGCAAAGCCCCAAAAATGAAATGCGATAGGAGAAACATTTATTGCTAGTTAATCCAGTTAAACGGAGATAATTACTTATTGTGTAGGAGAGAAGATAAATTCTTCCCGGTGGTTTCACCTGCATGATGCAATATTCTTATACTGCCGTGCGCCTCCGCCCTTTTCGTCATTCCACACCATTAATACAAATAACTCTCAATGGCTAATTAAACGTCTAGAGAATTCAGTATAAAAGATTTGTTCTGTCTTTTAATGGTTAGGGCAAGAAGGCAAAAGTCCTACTCATGTATTGTTGAACACGCAACACTCAACAAGCAGCCTGTAGCTTATCGTCATCTTGTGTTGGCTGTGTGACCCCTCTCCAGAAGCGCCTATTCCTAACGAATGAAAACTTCTTCTATTATGTAAGAATTGACAGGCAGACAGCTACGCTCCTCTATGATACTTGATTATAGCATGGTCTTTCCGATGTTGGTAGATGAACACTTGAATAATCGCCTTAGTAGGCAGCCTGCACGCACACAGAAATACAACAATTTTCTACCGTTCTAGTGAATGCAGCAAGGACAGGTTCGTTGTGCTTGCATGTGGGGCTGCGCTGTACCATTAGTTGCAGCGAAATGCGTTGCAACTCATCTCAGGAAGCCTCTTCACCCCCACCAACACGCCTTTCAATCTCTGTGCGCAGGACACCGGAAAATTGGAGTGGAGATCAACTGCCTTTAAGGAAATCTTGACTGAAGTTTTTTGGCTCTAGTGCTGCTCACGACCGTCCTCGGATATGATCGCGAACTCTGGTTACACTCGGTATCACCGCAAGCTCAGTCGGGACAGGCGCTAGCAGCGAACCCCGCTCCCATATCTGGGCTCCCTGGCGCGTGGCATTGACTAGTACTGGAGTTGTTTCGCGATTTCAAAAAAGGACCCGTAGGTATTCTCCCCAAATCGTCAATATAACCTCAGCAATTTTTCCCAGTTGCGTTAAGGAGAATGATCAAGTTACGCCCTCTGATTAGGGAAGCGGCCAAAGCGGAGGAGACCCATCGCATTGCAACTAGTTCAGTATGGGAGCTTTGTCCGGATAAAAATGTCTCTTCAGCAAAAGCAGCTCTTGACGAATCCCTCCGCTTTTGTTGACCCTCCATGTGACGGGCGCCGCGACGCGTGGGCAGTGCAGGAGCTCCTTGCTTCTCTGAAGCTGTATTTCCATCTCCAAAATGTACCAAAGAATCTTCACTTACTATCAACATATTAGTTACTAGTAGAAGAGGCACGGCAATCGTGGTTATACCGAAACAAAGGAGCGACTATGGCCCAGCTGCCCTATGGAAACCTTCCGCAACGCATTGTGATGTAGGTTCACTTCCAGGTCAGCATGGGAACAGGCTGTGGCATGCGCACCAACACAATGGAAACAATGGAAGCCATCTATAGAGTGCTACATGAAGAAATACCATTCCTTGGTGACCAGGAGTCCCACGATGAATTCGGAATTCCCAAGGCTGCTCCCCGGTAACAGGCTGGAAGGCAATAAGGGTAATACGGGGTGAAAAGGCTCAGTTTGACGAAGCTGTGGAAGAAATAAGCATCAACGAGCAAAAGTACCATTTCCACCGCCCCAAGTTCAAAGGAGAGAAACGAGCTTGGAAATTTTCCGGATAGTGGAGGTATGCATATTCGGCCTGTGAATGTTGTCCCCGTCCAGATCAAGATAAAAGGCGGCAATCGATAGCAACGAAAAAATTCGGCCCCTAAAAATCCGGGGGCCGTACCGAGCAGGCTTGCGCTTCTCTTGCAATAAATTAGGCCGCACTGTTCGAGACTGATGAAAGGAAGTACGGAACTAGAGAGGCAAGCTTTCCACCTGCCCCGCCATGGGAACAGACAGAACAATCAAGAAAAAGCCGCGGCCGTCACAACGGACCAGGTGACACCCACACCTGCCGACGCACCTCCAGTTGACTCTGTTCTTTTCCATGCTCGCAATAATGCTCAAAAGTTGCTGGAGCTACTTGGCACAGGCTGCGAAGTGCATGTGACGTATGAAGCTAAGGAGAGGACGTCCAACCTTTCCGTCTATTTGCTGGCGAAGTCTCTGCGATCCTGCATCACGGATTACATGCAGCGCACGAAAGTTGGGACAACGGCGGTTGTAAATGCTAGCACAACTTAGAGCTGGGTCAAATTACCATGATATAGGACTGATAAGTTGGACGTGCTCACAACGACACAATCCTTTGCATCTCGGGGATGATTCAGTGGAAGGCGCCCCCGCAGTCCCTATACGATACTATTGAGGTCTATCTGCCTGAACGTACTGAGAGAGTACAACTGTTGCCTCTCCCTTTGCATCCTCTTCTGAAAGGCAAGTGGAAGCAGCCAGGCTGTTCTTGCGTGTAAGAGTGCCCTGCAGTATTAGTTGCAATCAGTTGTGTTGCAGTTCATTTCAGGGCTGCATTCTCTCTTCCACCACCAAGCCCTTGGGCTGCTGCGCTTTGAGCGTATGGGAACTGTAGGGGGTGTGCATCTGCTCTTGACGGACTTTTGCACTAAGCCTTTTGGCTCTATTGCAGCTCGTCGGATAACATTGGAGGCCCTCGTTAGGCTGAGGCCATTTTCATCCCGCTGCCTTTCACCGACGGCTACTATACAGAGAAAATTCGCATCAAAGCTACTTAAAGAGTGCTGTGATGCTACACAGAAGTGCCGCCTTTCTTCTCTAGCTTCAGGAGTCTAGGCCGCTCCTGCGCTTTCGCTGCCTAAATACAGAAGGGGAGATTCGTTATTATTTCAAAGGAAAATTTCGTTGGAGGGCGCCTACTTACACCCCAACCGCCACTTGTAATATTAATGCCGAAGACGTACTCGTGTAAAAATTCCCAGCTTCCTACTATGACACAAGCTGGGATTTTTACAGGTCACCTTAGGGGGCCATTTACACACTGACAACGATGAGGCTGCACACTTTCTGGCGGAGAGCGCGGATAATGCTTTAAGTTTCAAGAGACAAATATACACAAAATGTAACGTATATAGCAGACCTCTAGCCGCTTATGGCACACAGCGGCTGCAGATGCGCTCCCAGGTCGGCTGCCCTTCTCCCCATAGAAAAGGTACAAAATAGAGGTCAAACAAACCAAAATATGAAAAAATTGGTATGGAAAAAGGGAGAGACATCTGCTAAACTCTGCCGTAAAGGGATTAAGCCCCAGCGCAGTCAAGACGGCATTATTTGCAGCCTCTGTGGTTTCTGTAGGTTTGTTTTTCGTTGTGCTTTATTGTCTCTTTTGTTTTTCTTTTGTGCCTTGTGTCGGCACCCTTCCGTATATTCCGAAGTGTGGAAAAAAGAACCCAGCGCGAGTTCGTGCTCCCGACAAGCAGTGGAAGAAGCGAATACTCCCCGCAGATTGCTTGGTTGTGCCCTTTCTCCTTGATATTTCGCTGCGTTTACATGCCAGCAAGCTTGAGAAGTACAACTATATATACGAATATACGTAAGATTATAATGGCGCTCGTGGAATGAAACAAAGCAAAGAAGAGTAGCCAGGCGGCGATTCAAATGGGATGCGTTTGCTGGATTTGCAAGAAGGGCCAGAGCGCATCTGCATGACCGCTCTGTTTGGATGACTGTTCTGTTTGGATGGCTGTTCTGTTTTCCGACTGACGAAAGAGGGACAAGAACATGTAACTCCCCATTTCCTCTTCCGTTGTCACCGTCCCCAGCCTCTCCTGCAGCTCTAATTACGCTGGTTACATCTGCAGGTAATGCTTGAACATCACTTGCGGAAAAGAGCAAAAACGAAGCTAGAAAATAAACACCATCTCAAAAACTTTAATGGCATTTCTGGGAACGACGAAGTATGGCAGCTAACTGGGGCTCTACCGCTCTTCATGGATTGCACCCACAACAAATCTCAGCAGCGAAACACTCTCGTACTATGAAAAGGTGAAACTTAGTCCAGAATGAATTAAGCGCAGCAGCAAAAGTAAGCCATTGTCCAGGTGTACCTGCCTTTCGATTGTCCCACAGGGCAGCAGCCTAGGAAAAAAAGTCTTGAGAGAACACCGAAGTTGTCTTGTATCCTTTGTTTGCTTCCAACAACAGCTTTTATTTTCAAGAAACAAGGGCACACCTAGAGAAACAAATTATTAATCTCGTAAGCACCCTCATATTCTTATGTCGGGGATGCTTAGTTGTTTCTCGCATAGAAATCCATCCAACTCCCCAAACAGTGCAAATGAACGCCATGCCGGTGAACAGAAATATGCTGTACTCATTAAAATTAAATTTTATTCCTGTTTTCTTTTCTGAAGCTCCAATGTTTCTGGAAGAACAGGACTGCTCCAAACACTGAACCACAACAAAGCTGAGGGAAATATAACCTTCGCACAATATGAGTTGCGTCTCAGAGTATGAAATGCATTTTCTTGATTGATTCTGGAATGTTTTTTCATGAAAGAAAGCACGAAATGGGGATCTGAGGGGGTGGATGACCAGAAGTGTTCATCGTATGCGCGACAAGCCGTCCGGCGATGGCTCGAGGGAAGCAGCTACGTCAAGTTGATCCCTTGTTAGCATCTGCCTTGGCTTTAAAAAACAGTAACTTTATGTGTGTATTACTCTAAATGCAATTATGTGGAAAATCGGAGGATAGACAGACAAGAACATTCAGTTTCCTTGCAGCTCAGCCTTCGCCGTGCTCTCGGTAGCGAGTGCGGCGGATTCGGGCCTTCGGCCCCACGGATCTATTGAGCTTTGTGTCTTGGAGCACCTTATTCAAACCTTTTATAGGAATTTTATCATTCTAGCTGTTATTCTTATTTCAAAATTGGGAGCAAAGAGGCAGTAACACCCTTTCAGGTCTCCCGCTGGACGGTGCTGGAGCGCTCTCAATCGACACCGGTCGGCTGCAGCCAGTGGGCCACAGCACAGCAGCAGCTGGACCTCAAAGCGAAGGAAATGAATAAAAAAGGATCTTCACTGGCTTTATATGAGCTGTAGAGTTGCTGCAATTCCTTTCTTTTCACCTGTCTTTGCGGCAGCAGCAGCAACAGCAGCGGCAGCAGCAGCAGCAGCAGCATTTGAGTTGAGCAGCTGCGACTGCAGCGTCGGGGTGCCAGGCAGTAGCTCACCAGCACCGCATGTGCATGCATTTTCCCCGGTTGAATGCATGGTTGTCTGTTCTTCTTTCTCTTCTACTTGGCAGCAGCTAAAGTGCGGCTGCATGCACTGGCGCTCCAGTGTGCAGAGGCAGAAGAACTAGGAGTAGACATCGAGGCGTGCTGTACTGCATCTGCTGCGGAGAGAAAATGCTGACGGTTAATGAAGGTCCATGTGAAGGCGCTGACAGGCTGGAGGAACAGCTTCGGTGTACGTCCATATGAGGTCTTCTCACCCTTTCTGACTTCCTTTTTAACAAACCAATCTTGGGGATATCGCAGTGCATGCGCTGCAGTACATATGCACGTGTTGCAATGGATGAGTATATGTAGACGTATGTGCGTTTATGTGTAGACCGTGAAGTATAAGTTGCCTCTGCGTGCGTTTATTTGTCGTGTGTAACTCAAGTGAAACAAAAACAAAACTGCCTACGCTCCTTTGCTTGCCTCATGCGTATTGTTGCTGCTGCTCCTTGTCCAGCTCTGCAAGAAGAAGAAACTCTTTTACTGCAGTCTTGGGGCCTTACAAGGTAGGTTGCGTTCTAGGCCTCTCCAAGCCTTTGCTGAACTACCCTAAACCCTAGGGCGTGACCCCGGAAGCAACTGCCACAGTAATGTTTGCTGTTGCACGATCAAGGAAGGCACTTTGCATAGACAGTCAAGAGCCTATAAGGGAGTTGCTATGGGCACTTGAAAAAAAGTTTGTATGTGCTCTGCTCTGCGTGCAGACGGGCGCAGGAGCCACCTCTTCCTCGCACAACAAAAGGAATGCCTCAGCTTAAAAAGGAGCCCTCAGAAGAAGGAGGAGACCCTGTCTGGCTCTCCAACCTAAGAACACGCTCTTGCGTACGTATAGCAGCGACTAACACCCGAAACACTAAGCCCTAATCTCTAAACCCTCAGTAAGAGGAAACGCCTGACGGAAAACAAGTATTGGCCTCTCCTGCCCTTGGCTTCTGCTCGCTGCTGCTGCATGCTGCTGTCTTTGTGTCTTGTTGCTTTAGGAACATTCGTATGTCACTGCCTGTGCGTCTCCTCGTCTTTACGATATTTGGCATGCTGCCGCCTCTGTGTCTTCTTTCTTTCTTACGCTGCTGTCTTTGTGTCTTCTTGCATTCAGAATCGTTTGGGCCTTCGTGTGCGAGTGCTCAGCAACAGCAGCGGCATGCCCCTGAAAGGTTTGTCTCTCCCTGTCTACCGTTCAATCCAACAGACAGCTAGCTGCAGGAATAGACAACTAGCTGCGGCGAGAGACAGCTAACTGCAGCGAGAGACACACAGCAACAGTTCGCGACAGACAGCGTAGTTGGAGACACCTAGCTACAGCTAGCAGCTAGAGACAGCTCGCTGCAGCAGGAGACAGCCAGCACTAGCTATATAGAGGTATTTGTAGCTAACTGTTTGTCCCTGTCCATGTGCCCTGCTGTTCGCAAAGGGGACAGTTGCGTGTGTTATGTCATCCGAAGTGCTGCTGTTTGTTCTGTGCTTAATCTCCAACTCAGAATACTCAAGCGATATACCCAAGTGCACAGCAGCAGCAGTTGCAGCTCCTGCTGCTGCTGCTGCTGCTACTGCTGCTACTGCAAGTATTTCTGGGGGCATTACGGGAGCGGGATCGAATGGTAGGCTTGGGAGAACCAACTCCACGACGGTCAGGCCCGCGAAAGGGACGATGAACGCTTCCTTCCCTCGTAGCTGTTCTGTGGCATCGAGGGGTACATACACTCAGCAGACGCACATGAGGAGTGCATTCACAAGAGACCGGTGGCTTGTTGAAGATGCATTGCGAGACAGGTCCTTGCCGTGGCCCTCAACGACAGCAGAGAACAACTCTTTCAGACAACCTTTGCTGCAGGCAATCCCTCTTGCCTGTTCCCCCTCTGCCCTCACTACCACAGTACAGCAAAGGTGCGCAATACAACAAGAGACAAACAGACTGACAGCAATGCAGCGGCAGCAGCTGCAACTGCTGCAGCTGCGGCAGGAACAGCAGCAGCTGCGGCAACTGAAGCAGCAGCAGCAGCAGCAGTGGCGGCTGCTGCAGCAGCAGCAGCAGCAGCAGCCGCTGCAGCAGCAGCAACCACACCAGCACCAGCAACCCCAGATGCAGCGAATACAGCAACAGCGACAACAAGAACAGCAAAAGCTTCTGCAGCTCATGCAGCAACAGCAGCATCAAGTCTTCCAATTGAGAGAGGTGAGTTCTTTCTCTTCCTTCCTGGTCATACTGAATGCTTCCAGGTGTACATACACTGCACTTGCAGTTAAAGGCAGGAGAAGGCAGCTGTCTTCCCACAAGGCCCGTTTGTCCTCTCCCTCATGCCCTTGCCAGTGCGTGCGGTGCAGCCGCGGCAGGAGTAGCTCCAGGGGTTTGAATATGCATGCATGGGGTGGTATCTTACTTGTGGGGCCCAGACGGGGGTTGGGGTGTATGGACTGCTCAGGCAGAGGCGCACAGGCGGTATCTGGCGACCCCGCAGCAACAGCAACAGCAGCAACGACGGAGCACGCCTTCAGCCAACAAACTGCGGCAACGACAGCAGCACCAAACGGTGAGACCCTAACAAAGAAGATCCACTAGAAAGGTTCTTCATGCTGCCTTCTCTGCGAGAAGCCCTACACACAACTTGATCACAAGCGGCACAAGCGAACGCACACGCAAGCTTACCTAGCTAGCTATCTATCTAGCTAGCTAGCTAGTGACACAGCTGGCTCTTTGACTCATGAAACCTCGTTTGATGCGATGCCTCCTCTTTCGCTGCCTCAGGCGCTGAAGGAGACAGGAAGCAGGACAGACACACACACAGAACAAATCGAAGTTCCCAAGGGTGGCTTATCTCTCCAAGCGCAGCTGGTAGAAGCTCAAAGGCGGGTGGAGATGCTACAGACGCTGCTGCAGCAGCAGCAACGGCAGCAGCAACCCCATTTGCGCCCGACGCAGAAAGACCGGCGTTCTCTATCACAATCACACGGGCAACTGCAGCGGCATCAGCAGCACCAGAACCAGCAAGAGCAGCAGCAAGAGCAGCAGCAACGCAGCGAGCAAGTCGCAAGAGAATGCTCGGTGGCCCGTTTGCGTCCGCTGCAGCGCCACGAAGAAACTGCTCCCAGGGAGTCCTTACCCAAGCCTACTGATGGGTTGGAGTGTATGCGCAGCTCCGCAGGAGACACTGCAGCATGCCATGGAGACAGTGCAGCGAGCAAATGGGGCAGTATAGGAGATTGGAGCGAGAAAGCCAACGTGAGCAAACGGGTGGTGCTGAAGGGAGACAGCGAGAAACAAGACCTGGAGCAGACTGCGTGAGCTACTGCCTACAACCTACGGGCCCTACAGCATATAATCTTCGAAGCATTGATCTCCTGTCCCTGCCTCTTATTAGTCTCCTGTTTCTGTCCCCTATCAGCCTCCTCTCTTATCACTCTCCTGTGTCTGCCTCCTAGCCTTTTGCTGCTGCTTCTCAGTCTCCTTCATCTGTCTCTGCCTCTGTCTTTGCTCACTACAGGGCTCACGGCCTCGTTAGTAGCGACGCCCTCTCTGAAACTGTGCAGCAGTCTCACCAGGAGCTCCTCTCCTCACTTAAGCAGGTCGGGTCCCCCTTTCTTCTGTTGTTGTTTGCTTTTATTGTCTTGTTGGCTCATCCCTTTCTTTTTCCTTCGTCTCCTGTCTCTTCCTTTCTCCGTGCTTCCGTCGCTGTTGTGCTGTCTGCTGCTTTCCTTGTCTCTTGTCGCCTGTCTTTTTGTGTGTTGCTGTTGTTGCTGCCGCTGCTCTTGCTGGTGCGGTTGCTGCTTCTGCTGTTGCTCGTGCTGCATCCGCTGCTTCTAGGCGTCCCCTGAGTCTCCTCTGCACGGGTGTAGGCACAGCAATTGCCCCTCGGGCGGAGATACTTGCGGCGAGGCCCCAGCACACATGGGGGCCCCCAGGGGCCCCCATGTGCTTTCAAGGTCGCTGGTGCGACAACTCTTTCACCTGTCTCCTCGACAGTGTTGCTTTATTTTAAGCGGTGGCTAGGGGTGTGGCTATGTGCTGCGAGCTGCTATACAGGACGTTCGGAGGCTCGTGGATATAGGACACACATACTCCTTGTTAAAGGCAGATCTGCAGCGCATTAGGTAAGCTGTCCGTGCAGACTGCATCCTAGAGGAGACGAGACAGAAGTGAACTCTCTTGCTACCACTGCTGCCTCCCCTGGTGGTACTCTCCGCTCGGTAGTGCAGCTCCTTTCTCTATCCCTGTCTGTCTCTGCTTGCACTGTCTGTCTCTTGTGCGTGTTGCGGCTGTTGCAACGCAGGCAGAAGGCGGCAGAACTGCGCGCCCAAACTGCAGATATCGCTCTGCCTTCGGCATCTCCTTGTTGCGAGCAGAAGCAGGAGCAGCAGCAGCAGCCCGCAGCGGCGTGCCGTCTCCCAGCGGGCCCAGGGATTGCGAGCTGCAGCAGCAGTAGCAGCACTTCACTGAACTAACAATTCACTCCCCAGATTCAGCCAGAAATAGCCAGCAGCGTCTCAAACCTCCCCAGCCTATTTCTACGTAAGGGGACTATAGGGGCCCTTGTGGAGGGCTGTGCGGAGCTGCCTCAGTGCACAGGCACAAGCCCAGATTGTGTGAGCATGCACCTATGCACAGATATTTGTGAAAATTAGTTATAGCCAGTGGAGGGTATGCTGTGGTGTACATACACCCCGAGGCGAATGCATTTTGTGGTTTGAGGTGTACGGACAGCGCAGAACATCCCCGATCCTCCTTTCCGTAAAGGAGGCTCAGTTTCCCAGCTGCTTGCCAAGCATGGGAAATCATGCAACAGCACCGAAGTGGTGCCTTGTGTACGGCAAAAACTAAAAAGAATTAAATTGCAGGCACGGGTGCCTTGTGGTAGAGAAGAATCTCCTACACAAAAAATACCATGACAATAGAGTACAAAAAATTTGTGAAAATGCAGAACAAATCACTGGAGGTGCGTCACGTTAGTTCAGACCCATTCTGATGTCTTTTCCTAAACTATGCAGGCAGTATGCTCTAGATAAAGTTGCAACGTGGCACAGGCTGCCTATCAAGGGCAGAGATATGTTTTTAAAGTTGTATGAAGTGAAGGTGCATGCACCAAATGGGGCTTGCTTGTATGTACGCAAGGTTTCCTTGCAGTACTAATTCAAGAGACTCACGACAGTAGAGCGCTGGGTAGCGACGCACGGTTCACCGGGTTGGCTGCTAACAGAGAACCCCAAGACCAACGCTGGGCGGCTTGGTATTAAAACCTGAAAAGTAGAGGAGGCACTTTGCAGGAAAATGAAACGAGAAATCTGTAGATTTTCTCCAAGGTCCTTCCGTCGAAACTTGTGCCATTTTCGCCTCTCACACTGGTGATAGAACACGCACGGTCTGCCTCCCGGTTGGGAGGCGATCAACGGCCGGGCATTGCCCCGCATTGGAGCAAACGCAGTATCTGCATTCCGTCGGGCTTAAGATTTGTTCAATGCAAAGTTAATTCATGAAGAATACCCCAGCTTTTTCCTATTGTCCAGATATCATTGGCACTGCGACGCTGGGACAGTGAAGGAGTCCTGTGCATCCCTCAAGTTCAGCGCATTCAAAAGCACCCGAAAAGGTGCAGTTTCTACTGACATCTTCTTTTCTAAAAGGGGGGCAACGAGAATAGTGGATATACCTAAGTAAAAGTGCCACTTTCCCAGAGCACTTCCGGACTGCGTGTTCGTCTACATGCACTGCAACGTAGGTTTATTCGCAGGTTGGGAAGGGAGCAGGCTATGGCAGAACTTAGAAAACTCAAACAAGTGAGTCTATCGATAGATGGCGAGGTCGAAAAGTATCAGCCCTTGGTGAACATAAGTCCAACGGTGGATTTGCACCTTCTGGTTCGTAGCAGGGCTCTCCCGCAGGCGACCGCCAACGGGCTGGGCCTCGGAGAGGGAATTAAGGAGTAAAATGATCGATCTCGCCGCGACGTTGAAATACTTCTACATCAAAGAGAAAGATGCGCCACTGCTACTGCCATAAGTCAGAAGGAAAAAGACATATATGGAACTGCCCCAGATCTGCGAAATGGATCTGAAATGCGAAGCTATATCTGAAATGCGAAGCTATATCAAGGAGTTGCAGTCTACCTGCCTGTTGCGTGGCGTTTTGCCTGAGTTTACTTTTCGCCGAAAGCAGGTAATATGACCAATTTCTGAATATACCCACAGCTTTGCCGATCCCCAAATCTCATGTTGATTGGAGGCAGACGGGGGACAATGAGCTGTGCCAGCCCGGGTCTGCGCGAGGTCTTCTAGCCAACAACCAGAACAGCAACGCTAACAGCAGGAACGGCCGGAATAAACGGCAGCAGCAGCATGGGAGCAGCAGGAGGCGGGGGAAGGCTGGCTTGGCCTACGGCGGAGTAGGCCGGTTTCTATATTTTGTTCCGCTGCGGCTGTTGTGACACTGCAACTCGCGTATGCTGGCCCGCCACTGCCCCTACGAATTTAGCGTAGAAAGCATTTATCGCTGTTCGTTGACCGCACCTAGCCTATATGAATATAGGAAACTGTAGCTGAGCTACACTAGGCTGTCGTTGCGACCAAGGTGCGCCTGCTGTTGGGCGTTACATTTCATGACGTGCACCTCTTTTTCAAAGACGTTCCTCGCTGTCCGTTCGACTGGGGAGGTTCTCGCAGTTCCTTTCTCAGCCGCAGCAACAAAGCAGCAGAAGGGTGCAGGTGCAGCAACAGCAGCAGCAGAAGCAAGAGCAGCAGCAACAGCAATAGAAACAGTTGCAACACGATCGGGAACTGAACAGAAGAAGCTACTGGTGCTGCAGCTTCTGCTGGAGTATCGGAGCTGTGGTAGCTGCAGCAACAACAATGGAAGCACCAGAGGAGCTACAGCGTGGCATTCCGAGATGCGCCGTTGGGCTGCAGTGTTGCACGGAGGAAGCAACAGGAAAGCATGCCGAGGAACAGTTGCTGCTCTTATCAGCGCTTGCGCTAGCAGCGGATAAAAAGGCACCCGTGTTGTCCATTTCTCAGCCCTGGCAGAGGAGCGTGAAGGGAAGTGTCGTAGAGGGGGCTTGACAATACTTCGTGTAAGCGTCGAGGAGGCTGGCAGCAGCGCACACAGCAAACGTGTTGCTTGTGGTCAAGCTGGTGAGGAGGTTATCCAGCCATACCGAAAGCAAGAGAACCACGTACGACACGGACGGAAGCAGAGGGATCGACAAACAAATGGACACAGAAGCAAATAAAAAAACAGGAAAACAGGGGATATTGAACAGAAAATGCGTTCATGGAAAGGACGAGAACTCAAATGCAGCCCTCGTTGAGCTTCGATTCGTCGTCAAGTAGCATGTACACAGTAGGGATGTCAGCGTTAACCACTCCACAAGGAATGCAGCGAACCAGGATACACGGCGCTCTCCTCCTTTTGGCTTCAGCAGTAGCAGAAGCTGCAGTTCGAGCAGCGGGCATTCCAACAGCAATCGATGCAAAAGCCAGAGGTACACGCACCATCAAGCGATACTACAGCAGGTAGCGCAGTAGCAAGTGATGCAAAAGTAAGAGAGGCAGCAGAAAGTGACTCAGAATGAAGAAGTGGAGCGGCAAGAGGCGTAGCACTATTGAATAGCTGCAACATGAGAAACCGATGGAGACTAACACACAACAGCCGCTACAACAACCGCTACAGCATTGGCAAGTGGTACAGAGGCCCTGACCTCTTTCTACTTATCTCCTTTTGCACAACTAGTCACATGAGGAAGTGTGCTGCTTGGGGAGAGGTTTCGAGTACTGATGTACCATATACTGTCTAAAGTTTGGACACCCTGGGGTGCCTGCTGCCTCCTGAGGCCCCAATAAGAGCTTATTAATACTGTATAGTCTGAATGCAAGCAGTTCATGAGGCCTGGATTGTTTGCTTGCGGTGTCCCCTTAAAGTAATAGCTGCACCAAGATTCGGTGCAACTAATGATAAGCCGTGTGCTCTCTTAAGCCAAAGACTTTTCTTTGGGCCACAGTACCCAAGAAGCCTGAGGACTGGGAGGGGACACATCAGTTTCTTTTAAAGAATTCTTATTTTAAGCCTTTAACTCTATTGCAGCTCGTATTTAAAACGCAACTACAAGAGGGACCCCCCAATAAAGCCAGGGAACGGGAACGTACTGCTAGCAGTGAGCGGCGTGGTTAGACTGGCGTTATGGTGTACTGTGGGGCTAAATAGAGAAGTTTATTGAGATTAAAATACAAAAAATAATACTTGACAGACAAAGCGCGTGAAATAGAAAAGAATGTACTCGATGAAAGACAGGAGGAGGGCTAGGGGAGAGCCTGCAGGTGCTGCTCAAGAGGCAGCAGCGGGGGAGCAGCCGGCGCCTCTTTTTTGTATTTTTTGGCGTTGTTAACAATAAATAAGAAAGATATAATAATGAAGAATTAAAAAAAGAACAATCATTTTGTCGAAACAACCGTAGGAGACACACCACCACCCCCAGAGCCCCGCCGTGCAGCAAGCCCGCTGCTGCCGCTGCTGCTGCTGCTGCTGCTGCTGCTGCTGCTGCTGCGGCTGCTGCTGCTGCTGCTGCTGCGGCTGCTGCTGCTCGTGGCATAAGAAACGAACGTTTTGCCTGCGCCTTTGCAGCAGCAGGGGAGGGGACAGAGACCCTTGGGGGCTCCGTCTTCTTCTGTTGATTTTGAATAATTTGGGGCTTCTCTTGAGGTGTACATACACCTCAATGTATCTCGTCAGCGTTCCTGAGGCTCGCTCATTCTCTCATGTCCCCTTGTCAAGCAACCGTAGCACCTCAACGGATTGTAGCGGAGCTGGTGATCTGGGTTCTTCTCTCTTGTTTTGCTGATGCCTACCTGTCTCTTTTTCTATTGCTATTGTTTTTTCACCCGTTCTGTCTCCTTACTCTCGTGCGCCTCCCCTCAGCCACGAACCCCCCTCTCCCCCAGATGACCGGCGCCGCGCGCTCCTTGGCGGCAGCTGCGGCTAAACCCTAAACCCTAAACCCTAAACCCTAAGACCAACGCAGTAAAGCTCTCATCAGCAGGAAGCAGAAGCTTTAACAGCTACTGCACCCAGACGAACGGGCCCACGAGGACCCCACCGCCAGCATCAGCAACTACGACAAACGCAGCAGCAGTATCTGCAGCAACAGCATCAGTAGCGTCAACAACTGTAACATCTGCAGCAACAGAGCACCGGCAGCAATAGCTGCAGCAACACAACACCACCAGCAGCAACAGCAGCAGCAGCGTTTCCTAGAATGTCTCCCTCGCTCAGGTTCCCCGAGCGCCCGTTTGTTGGACAAGGGGCGGAGGCCTCAGGTGAGAATGCTTGCACGGGCAGCAGCAGCTGCAACTGCAGCATTTGCTGCTGCAGCAAGGAGACCTGTGGGGGCACAGCTTGCGACACAAGCAACGGCAGCTGCCGCAGCCCCTGCAGCAGAAGCAGCATCGAGCGAGAGGGGGGAGAAATACCTCCTCTAAGAAGCTCAGTTAATCCTTCGTGGGTGGAAGCGCATGAACATGCAGGAGATTCAGCAGCAGCAGCAGCTGCACTGGCAGCAGCAGCAGCAGGACCCCCACCAGCAGGTGCTGCAGCACAGAACTCGGGGATTTGGGCCGTCGCGCTGCAACAGTCTGCTGCTGCTGCTGCTGCTGCTCTCATGAGGCGCAGCCCCTCAGCCCCCAGCTTAGTTAGTGGTGTGCTGCGGGACTGCATTCCAAGCCGGCAGCAGCTGCAGCAGCTGCAGCAGCAACTGCTGCTGCAGCAGATGCAGCAGCTGAAGATAGCACCCCAGGACCATCAACACGACCCTGAGGGCCGCCCACAAGAATGCGAACCTCAAGTTGAGCAGCAGAAACTGCAACAGCAGCAGCACCAGCTGCAGCAAGAGCAGCTGCAGCAAGAGCAGCTACACCCCGAGCAGCTGCAGCAACAGCAGCTGCAGCAACAGCAGCGACAGCAACAGCAGCTACAGCAACAGCAGCTGCAGCAAGAGCAGCTGCACCAGGAGCGCCGCCCAACAGGCAACGCTGCAGCAGCAGAAGCGGCTGAGGCGTTGGATTCCGCAGAAGCGCAGCGGCGGCAGCAGCAGCAGCAACAGGAGCCGCAGATGCAGCAACAGCAATCGCAGCTGCAGCAGCAGCCGCAGATGCAGCAGCAACCTCAGCTGCAGCAGCAGGAGCAGCAGCAGTTGCTGTTGCAGCAGCAGCAAGAGGAGCAGGATGAGCAGCAGCAACTGCCGCAGCAGCCGGATGCGGCCTCCCCCCCTTCGAGGCAGCAGCGGCAGCAGCTGCGCCAACCCAAGAATCTAGCACCAGCAGCAACAGCAACAGGCACTGCTGCTGTGGGGAGCAGCAGCAAGTTCGGATCGATAGCAGAAGGCATTGCTGCAGCAGCAGCAGCGCCAACTGCAGCAGCAGCATCAGCTGCTGCTGCTTGCTGCAGCAACTCCAGGAAGAGGCGCTGCACGAGGCCTCCTAGGAACCGCGCTGGCAGCAACAGCAACAGCAACAGCCGTTACAGCAGCAGCAGCAACTGCAACTGCAGCAGCAGCAGCACCAGGACCCGAACGAGAACACAGAGCGACGCTACACACTCAATGCTGAAGAAGAAGACGCACCAAGTGGAAGACCAGTTCTTCCGGTGAGGGTTTAGGGTTTAGGGTTTAGGGTTTAGGGCTTAGAGCACTGCTGTGGTGACAGGGAGGGTGTGTGTGGGGGAGGAGAGTCTTCTCACAGCGTGTTTTGCTGCAGCAGGTTCAGCAGCAGCAGCAGCTGCTGCTGCTGCTGCTGCTGCTCCGGCTTGTCTGTGTCGCGTCTTGTTTTAGTAGTTAGAGTTGGCTTCCCCATACCTTATTTGCTTTCAAACCCCAAACCCTAAACCCTAGATGCTGAAACAACATTCTTTGGCTGCTGCTGTTCATTGTGGTTTAGGGTTTAGGGTTTAGGGTTTAGGGTTTAGGGTTAGTTGCGTTAGTTTGTTCATCTTAATAATGGCGTTGCGGTGATATTTATTTTTGCTCGTTAACAATAATAAACTAAAGATAGTAATAATAACAAAATAACAATAAGATAATAACGATAATAAATAACAATAAAATAATAATAATAATAAATAATAATAATAATAATTATTATTATTATTATGTTTATTATGGTTGTTGCAGCATAAAGATGTGCCAGAACTTTCTTAACGGAAGCTGCTCTAAGAGCAACAGCTGCAGCTACGCCCACAGCGCAGAGGAGTTGCGAGAGCCCCCAGCACTGACGAAGACGAAGATGTGTGTACACTGGCAGGCGGTCAGTTAAACCCTAAACCCTAAACCCTAGACCCTACGGCTTAAGCGCCGTGGGGGAGGCTTACTAACCCCTTAAGTATATACACCCTACGTACACCAGCATCCACAAGCCCTTGGAGGCCCTTCTTCATAGATCCTCTTTTGAAACCATCTAGGGATAAGGGTTTAGGGTTTAGGGTTTAGGGTTTAGGGTTTGGCGACTGCAGGGTACGTGCCCGGCTACGGACGGTTCGTGTCTCTTTGCCCACGGCGAGGCGGAGCTGCGCAGCACTAGCGACTACTACAAGGTTTGCCTCCCTGCTGCTGCTGCTGCTGCTGCTGCTGCTGCCGTTGCTACTGCTGCTGCTGCTGCCGTCCCCCTAGGAGCGTGGAGAGTGTTGGTGGTGATGCTGCTGCTTTTGCTGCAGACGAAGCTATGCAAGTTCTGGGTGCGGGGCGGCGTCTGCCCCGCAGGAGACAGCTGCCGCCATGCACACGGCGAGCAGGAGCTGCGGAAGCGCAAGTAAGCAGCAGCAACAATAGCAGCAACAACAGTAGCAACAGCAGCAGCACCAGCAACAGCAGCAGGGGCAGGCATTACGGACGGGGCGTGCAGCAGCGGGCCCAATTACCTGCCATTCGTTGGTAGCGGCTGCATGAGCGTTTGTGTTCTGCTGCTGCTGTGCTGCTGCTGCTGCTGCTTTTGCTGCAGTTATCGACGGACGGAGCTGGAGAAGTTTGCTTCAGTACATGGGTTGAATATTGTGGCGCTGCTGGAGGAGCTGCGGGGTGCTGCTAGCCTCAATGTTGCTGCAGCAGCAGAAGCAGCAGTAATAAGAAGCAAAGCGAGGAAAGGTGCTGGGGAGGGGCAGCAGCAACCTGCCGCAGGACTCCCTGCAGCAGCAGCAGCAGCAAGCACTGCTGCGAGCTCCGTTGCTGCTCCCGCTGCTTCTGCTGGTGCTAGTGCTGCTGCTGCTGCAACGGCCCCAGGCACCCCAACGGAGGTGCAGCAGCTACAGCAGCAGCTGCAGCAGCAATCACCTGGCCCCGAGCGGCAACGGGGTGTATCGGCACCTACGCAAAACAACAGACCAATCTCGGCAGATAGGCAGCAGCAGCAACAGCAGCAGCAGAAGCAGCAGCAGCTGCATCACCACCATCACCATGCGCACGGGCACCATCGTCGAGGAGGGGATGGCCATTCCTCGAGAGGGCAGCAGCAGCAGCAGCAGCATCAGCAGCAGCAGCAGCAGCAGTTCGTGGCGGAGCAGGATCCAAGCCACGGCTGGAAGCAGCACGAACAGCAGCATCAGCAGCAGCAGCAGCTGCTGCTGATGCAACGTGCTGCAGTGGAGAGCGGTGCTCCGGTGTATGCACAGGTGCCTTTTGTGCCTACAGACGTCTACCCCACACTGTCAGGGCTTCTTCCGTATACAACTCCTTTTGTGCAGATGCCATACGCAGCAGCAGCAGCAGCTGCTGCTGCTGCTGCTGCTGCTCCGGGGCCACAGTATGCCCCCACCAGTTTTCCCCTCGGCATCTACCCTCCTTTTCCGATGCTGCAAGTGCCCCCAGTGCAGCAACCGCTCGTCAGCCCAGCAGCGGCAGCGGCAGCAGCAGCAGCAGCAGCAGCACCTACTTCAACAGTAGCTGCCGCCGGTGTGCAGCAGCAGCAGCGTACCGAAGGACCGAGAGATGCATGAACGGTCTCCCCATTACGCAGCAGCAGTAGCAGCACCAAGAGCAGCAGCGGCAGCATCAACAGCAGCAGCAGCTGTTGCGGCAGCAGCAGCAATCTGGGATAGAAACACCTAGGTGCGTGAAGATAGCCAAGTTTGTTGCTGCTGTCAGCTTGCTGCTGGCATTTGGGGCTCGCCGGCTGCTTGTGCCAAGGGGGGGAATGGCAGGTCCTTGCTTCCAGCAACAGCTGCTGCAGCAGCAGCAGCTGTTGCAGCAGCAGTAGCTGCAGCAGCAGCAGCTGCTGCTGCTGCAGCTGCTTCAGCAGAAACCGTTAACACCAGCAAATGCTGCAGCAGCAGCTGTTGCAGCAGCAGCAGTAGCTGTTGCAGCGGCAGCAGCAGCTGTTGCAGCAGTTTGTGGTGCAGCAGCAGCAGCAGCAGCTGTTGCAGCAGCGTGTGGTGGATATATCGTAGTTACGTGTCGGTCGTCAGCAGGCCCAGCTGTGCGTCCCCGGCGGAACGAAGTTGTTGTTCGTTGTCTTGCTTCTTTAGTAGTACTTGTAGCAGCAGCAGCAGCAGCAGCAGCAGTGGCAGCACCAGCGCAGTTTGCTGCTGCTGTTGCTACTGCTTCTGCCCCTATTTTCTGTACTATGGCGCGTCCCTAAGCGGTGCGCAGAATTTGATGATGGAGTCGCAGCTGCGAGGCTATATTTGTGCTCCCTGCTAGCTGTTGCTGCTGCTGTTGCTGCTGCTGTTGCTGCTGTTGCTGTTGCTGCTTTTGCTGTTCTTCCTGGTCCGGGCAGGGCTGTTCCGCAGTGCGGCAGCAGCAGAAACATGAGACGTAGAAAGGGTGTACGGCAACAGCAGCAAGTGTAGCAGTACATGCAGCAGCAGCAGCAGCAAGCGTAGCAGCAGCAGCACCTGTAACAGCAGCAGCACGTGTAGCAGCAGCAGTCCGTGCAGCAGCAGCAGCAACGCTGCTGCATCAATTTCCTTTTGAAGCAAACGAAACTAATTGCCTGAGGCCAAGGGCCTTTAAACCAAATGGCGGTGCCCTGACGTTTAGTTCTAGTCCCTGCAGCCACAGCAGCAGCAGCAGCAGCTGCTGCTGCAGCTATGCTGCTGCATTCACTGGGGAGCGGCCATGAATGGCAGAATGCAGCAGTTCACTTAAAACGCGTGCAACTGTCTCCTTTGAAGCAGCAGACGTTTGGTCATTAGTTGTAGCTGCTGCTGCCGTTGCTGCAGCAGGAGGCTGCTGCGGCTGCGGCTGCTGCTGCTGCTGCTGCTGCTGCTGCGTTGCAGCTGGGAGCTGCAGCTGTGGGACAACGGATGCTTCTACTGCTGCCAGCTGCGCATTTGCTGCAGCTACAGCAGCAGGAGCCACGAGCGTGTTGCTGCTCAGTATGATGGCTTGCTGCTGCACGATTAGACGCTGCTGCTGCTGCAGCATCTCGGCGTGCTGTTTGCTGCTCTCCAGAAGCCGCACCACTTCCCGCTCTACCTGCAGCAGCAGCAGCAGCAAAAGCAGCAGGAATAGCAGCAGCAATAAAATAATGAAACATGGTTTGCTGCAGCTTCCCTCTACGCGTGCTGCTGCAACCTCAACAGGTGCCACTACTGGTACTACTATTACCACTAGTACTACTACAGCTGCTGCTGCTGCTGCTGCTGCTGCTGCTGTACCTGCGAGCAAGTTGCAGTGCTGCGAGGGACCCCCAGGAGGTCGCAGACAGATCTGAAGAGAGTATCGAGAGGGCGGTGGCGGCGGAGAGCTGTCTGTACACCTGCAACACAATCTTCTATATTCTTGTAGCCAAGGCGTGTCTGTAACTCTGCTAGAAATTGCTGCTGCTGCTGCTGCTCCGCCGTTAGCAGCTGTTGCTGCTGCTGCTGTTGCAGCTGTTGTTCCTGCTGTTGCTGCTGTTGCTGCACAATCTGGCGAAGAGACGATACAGCTTGAGCGTCTGCTGCTGCTGCTGCTGCCAGCACAGCTTGCTGCTGCGCGTCGTGCTGCTGCTGCATGCAAACGAGGCGAGAGAAGAACTCCTCAACAGACGGCTGCTCTTGCAGCAGGTCAAGAGGCTCCTGCACATTTATAGTGCAGCATTCTTCCAGCAAAGCAGCAATCTGCTGCTGTTGCTGCTGTTGCTGCTGCTGCAGCTGCTCCTCCACGGACACTACGCAGGCCCCAGGCGGCCCCACAAGCTCCCGCAGCAGCCGCTGCAGCGCCGTGTAGTTGCTTAGCTGTTCAGAAACATCACAAGCAGCAGCAAGAGCAGCAGCAGCAATAGCAGCAGCAGAGACAGTAGGTCTCTCAGCAAGTGCAGGCACCCCGCAGCAGCAGCAAAAGCAGCAGCAGCAGGATATCGTACTGTTTTAGCATGGCACTTGAGCTTGGAGAGGGCTCTAGCGATGAAGAGCAGCTTTTGCTGCTGCAGGCTGCTGCTGCAGCACTCCGTCGTCACCTTTGGCGCCCTTTGCTGCTTCAGCCTCCTCTTCATGCTGCGCAGCAACTCCGAGTCAGAGGGAGGCACAGCCTGCAGCACCAAGGCTAGCAGAACCTGCAGCAAAGACAGACAGATATACAACAGCAGCAACACTACAGCCCTCAAACCAACTCCTGCTGCTGCTGCTGATACTCCGGTGTTGCTGCTGCTGCTGCTGCAGGTGCTGGTGGTGTTGCTGCTGCTCCGTGGGCTTCGTCTAACCCGCAGCAGCTGTTGCTGCAGCAGCTGGTTTTGCTGCTGCACCAAAGCGATCCCAGAGAGACTTGAGGGGAGACACCGAAACGCCACGCAGCACCGCTGCAGTGTACAGACACCCCACACAGCACCCGCAAGCACAGCTGCAGCAAGACTGCATAATATACACGGCAGCAGCAGCAGCAATCATACAGAGGCATGAGTAACAGGCGTAGTACCAGCACCAGCAGCACCACAAAGAGAAAACAGCAACAAGTGCAGCAGCAGCAACAGGATAAAACGCCAATAGTAACAGCAACAGCAGCAGAAGCAGCAGCAGCAGCACCGGACCTTGACGAGCTGCTGCAGTGCCTCCCGCTGCATCCCCTGCAGCGCCTTGTCGCAGCGCATGAGCAGCCGCGGGTCTCCGCAGCCTTCAGAATCCTTCAGGGGATTCAGCTGCTCCTGCAGCAGCAGCAGCAGCAACAGCGGCAATGGAGAGCAACAGAGATGAGCGGCTCATGAGCCCCAGTGATTCGAAGCAACGAACAGCAGCAGCAGCAGCAACACAGCAGCAACAGCACAACAGAAGCGAAGCACAACAGCAAACTTGCAACACTAGCAGCAGCAGCAGCAGCAGCAGACCTGCATCTCTCGCAGCTGTTCATGCAGGGCTGCGACTTCTTCTGTTGAGGGCCTCAAGCGAAGCTCCGCCACCTCCGTCTCCAGCTAAGCAGCAAACGCAGCAGCAGCAGCAGCAGCAGATGCTACTGGAGTAGCGGCACGCGAAGCAGCAGCAGCAGCACCAACTGACGCTGCAAACCCACGACATTCTGCTGCTTACCTCCTCTTTTGTAGCCCGCAGATCTGCTGCAGCTTTTTCGTCCCGTTGCTGCTGCAGCACAGCAGCAGCTTCTGCCTACAGTAGCAGCAGCAGAAACAGCAGCAGAATCACGCCTGGTCCCCGATGAGGATAGCGCTACTGCCGTTGGCTGCTAGAGCTGCTGCTGCAGCAGCAGCAACAGGCGAAGGCAATCCAAGCACAGCTGCATTCGCTGCACCGGCAGCTTGCAGCTGCAGCAGCAATAACAGCAACTCGAGCAGCAGCAAGAAACAGCAGCAGCAAGAGCAGACCTTCATTCTGTCCGTCTTCTCCCTCTCTAGGGCTTCGGTAAGCATAGCCACATCAGAGCGAAGAGCTGCTACCTCGAGTTCATGGTTGTGCTGCTGCTGCTTGCGTTGCTGCTGATGCTTCTTTTGCTGCTGCTGCAGCTGCTGCTGCAGCTGCTCTACCTGATGCTGAAGCTGCTGTTCTCTCCGCTGCAGCTCTGCAACAGCAGCTTTCTCCTCCTGTGCCTCTGCTGTTGCAGTTGCTATTGCCGTTGCTGCTGCAGCAGCCGCTGCTGCAGCAGCATCTGCTGCACCGCTTCCCCCCTGCTGCTGCAGCTGCTGCTGCGCCACCTTCAATGCTGCTGCGAGCCCGTCAATCTCCCGCTGCTTTGACTCCACCTGCAGCAGCAACCCAGCGCCGCACCAACCGTCTACTGCAGCAGCAACAGCATCAGCAGCAGCAACAACAACCACCAGCAGCACATGACGATTACCTTGGCTTCGTATTGCCTCGCCACCTCCAGTGCTTCTCTCTTCAGCAGCATTTGCTGCTGTCCTCCAGCAGAAGCCCTTCGGTGCAGTAGCCCCGACTGCAGCATGCGAGCAGCACGCTGCTGCTGCTGCTGCTGCTGCCGAGCGGCCACTGCTTCGCGCTGCTCCAGCTGCAGCAACACCCCACACGCAGCAGCAGCAACAGCAAATCAGCGCCTGCAGCAAGCCAACACCCCCAGGCCGTTCCGAATACAAACTCTAGCAGCAGCTGCACCAGTTTCTGCAGCAGCAGCAACTTCTGCTGCTGCTTGCTGCAGCAGTAGTAGAAGCAGCAACGCACTACGCGTATTTGGTTGTCTCTATCGACTATCATTTCCCGCTGCAGCTGTGTCTTCTTCTTGGCTTCCTGCAGCTGCTGCAGCAGCTCCTCATTCCTGTGTTTTGCTGCTTGCAGCTGCTGCTGCAGCGATGCTGCTGCACCAGCTTGCCGCTGCAGGTCCGCAGCAACAGCACGCGCAGCATCGGCCTGCAGCAGAAGTCGCAGCAGCAACATTCGGGGTGTATGTACTCCCCACTATCAGCTCCAAACTACTACGCAGCAGCAGCAGCAATAAAGCAGCAGCAGCAACAGCAGCCGCAGCAATAGCAGCAAAACGATACCTCCGAAGCAAGGGCGTCATTTTGCTTGCGAAGCTTGGAGAGCGCTTCTTGGTGCTTAGCTGCTGCTGCTTGCTGCTGCTGCTGCAGCTGCTGCACCTGCAGCAACAGCTGCCCCCGTGCCTGATGGGCCTGAAGGGTTTGCGTGACGGCGTCGGAGCAGCACTGTACAACCTGCTGTACATACACCTCAGTGGTTTCAATCTCGCATGCGAACTCATCCTGCTGCTGCTGCTGCTGCTGTGCTGCTGGAGGCAGCCGAGGGTGGCAGCGGCTTGCTGTTCTCCACAGCTGCAGCGGCTGCAGCTCCGCTGCATACAGCATCTTATCAAGGTCTTGCAGCAGCACCCACAAGTTATCTCTTAGTCTCTCTCTGCTGCTGCGAAGCTCTGCCACGTGTTGCTGCTGCAGCAGCTGCACCACCTGCGCCTCTTGCTGCTGCTGTTGCTGCTGCCGCTGCTGCTGCATCCACAGAGGACTGTCCATGTCAGAAGCAGCAGAAACAGAAGCAGCAGCAGGGCTTTGCACCTGAAACATCTTGCTGCTGCTCCCGAAGGAAGGCGCAGGGGACGCTAGCAGCGCCAGCTGCTGGCCTCCACCTGTTGCTGCTGCTGCTGTTGTTGCTGCTGCAGCTGCTTCTGCTGCTGCTGCTGCAGAAGAAGCAGGAGAAGAAGCATGAGATGAGTCGTCATACAAACGCCCGAAGTCTGCTGTCTGGGCTAAGGGAGCGACAGACTGCAGCAACCACTTGCTGCTGTTGTTGCTGCTGCTAGCTGCAACGTTCGGCTCTTGGGAGGCTTCCGGTGGAGCAGCAGCAGCAGCAGCAGCAGCAGGGAAGGGGACTAAGGAGTTCCTGCCGCTGTTGCTGCTGCTGGAAGCATGCAGAGCCTGTGGCCTGTCGAGCAACGTGGGGTAGGGGCGAAGCAGCCTTGTTGGAGATTGCTGCATCAGAAGCTGTTGCTGCTGCTGCTGCAAGTGGAGCTGCTGCTGCTGCTGTTGTTGCTGCTGCTGCTGTTCAAACTCAAAAGGCAGCAGACCTGCAACGCCGTCTGGGCTAGACTCCAGGGCCCCCGCCACCGCTTCTACCTCCGATGAAGCCAAAGAAGAAGAGGACAGAATTTCATCTTGCTGCTGCTGCTGCTGCTGCTGCTGCCGCTCGTGGAAAGGTGCTGCGGCAACTCCGCCTGCATGAACGCCAAGATAGTTCCTGCTGCCGATGACGGCCTCTTGCTGCGGCTGCAGCAGGTGTTGCTGCTGCTGCTGTTGCTGCTGCTGCTGCTGCTGCAAGTTCCAAGGGTGTCCCGATGACGTTGGAGACGGCGTCCCCGACTCAGTCGCTCCTCCTGCAGCAGCAACAGCAGCAAAAGCAGCAGCAACAGCACAAAGCTAAACCCCAAGAAGCAGCAGCGGACTCACACCCACACAGCAGCAGCAACAACTACAGCAGCAACAACAAAAAAGCAACAACAACTGCAGCAGCAGCAGCAGCAGCAAATCCCCACCTGCCGTTGTGCAGCGGCTGCCCAGCCCGCCCCCTGCAGCAGCAAAAGCTTTTCCTAGCTGCTCCACAGGCTTGCTGCTGCTGTTGTTGCTGCCGCTGCTGCTGTTGCTGCTGCTGCTGTCAGGCGAAGAAGTGGCAGAGGCAGCGGATGGATATGCTGCTGCTTCGCCAAGCTGCTGCAGCGGGGGCTCCGCATGAGGAGCAGCTGAGAAGTAGGGCAGAGTCCTTCTCTCTATCTCTTCTGCTTCCCTGCTGCTGCTGCTGCTGCCGCTACTGCCGCTGATGCTGCTGCTGCTGCTGCCGCTGCTGCTGGCACTGCGCTTTAATGCGTTCCAGGCAACATGCGCTTCATATTCGTGCTGCTGCTGCGGAGGTTGCTGCGTGTCGTGCTGCTGCTGTGGCTGAGGTTGCTGTTGCTGCTGTTGCGGCTGTTGCTGTTGTTGCTGCTGCTGCTGCGGGAGCAGCAGTTGCTGCACTGCTGCCTCCGCCTCTTCATCTGACCAGGACCAGCCCAGGGCTTCGGAAGCAGCTGAGGGCCGGTGCGCTTGCATTACGCGCTGCAGCACAGGCTGCTGCTGCTGCTGCTGTTGTTGCAGTTGCTGCTGCTGCTGCTGCTGCTGGCTGCCTTGCATCCAAGACGCTGTTAGCGAAGAGACAGTGAACACGCTGCCCTGAACTCCAGCAGCAGCAGAAGTAGCAGCAGAAGGAACTGCAGCAGCAGCAGCAGCAACTGAAGATGACTGCAGCAACGTTGGCTGCGCCTGGGCCCCCAGGGGTTCTGCAGCCTGTGATGTAGCAGCAGCTGCTGCTGCTGCTGCACCTTCTGCTGCTCCTGCTGCTGGACGCGAACCCAAGAAGCGGCCCACCCGCTGCAGCAGCTCGCGAGAAGCAGCAATGGCTTTCGTCGCTTCTGCTCTGCTGCGGGTTGCTGCTGCTGCTGTCGCTGCAGCAGCAGCAGCAGCAGCAGCCGCACCACTGTCGCTGCTCATGCTGCGGGAACCTGTTGCTGCTGCAGCAGCGCTGCTGCTTGAAAGTGCTGTGTCTCCATTTGAAGACGGCAGAGACAGCAGATGCCCGCCGCTGTTACTGCCCTGTGTAGCAGCAAGACCCGTCATGCTGCTGCTGCTGCTGCTGCTTGCTGCAGAAGACCTGGTGGCGTTGCTCCTCAAGGCTGCAGCGGTGCTCTCCGGAAAGGCAGGCAGCAGCTTCGCCTGGTTCGCGCTGCTGGGCGTTGCAGCAGCTGCTGTTGCTCCCTGCTGCTGCTGCTGCTGCTGCTGTTGTTGCTGCTGCTGCTGCTGATGCTGAGGACGGGAGACACCTGCTAAGAAGAGCGCCGCTTTGCTGCTTCTCGCCACTTCGAAGGGGGTATCCAGTTCACTAAGCAGCAGAGGCCCCTTTCCTCCCAGCTGTCTCCTGGATTGCTGCTGCTGCTGCTGCTGCTGCTGCTGAAGCTGGCGCTGCATCTGATGGCCATTATGCAGTCCTGCAGGGGCTGCCTCGCCAGAAGCAAACTGCTGCTGCTGCTCCCGCTGTTGCTGCTGCTGCTGCTGGCGAGAAATGATGGATGATGAATCTTCTCCTGCAGTGCTGCTGCTGCTGTCAATGGGAGTTGCTGCTGCTGCTTGCAGCCGCAGCGCCACGGAGTCGAACCCAGTGTTGCTGCTGCTGCTGTTGCTGTTGCTGCTGCTGCTGCTGCTGCTTGTGTTGCTGCTCCTGCGGTGCAGCGCATGCGACAAGGTGCCTTCAAGCGAAGAGAGAGAAGGCCTAGCAAACGGGGAGGGGGGCGCAGCAGCCGTAGATGCTATGCTGCTGTTGATGCTGCGTCCTGCTGCTGCTGCTGTTGCATCTGCTGCTGTTGCTGCTGTCGGTGCGAAGGGACTCCGCGCCGGCAGCCCAGAGACGAGGAGCCGCTGCTGCTGCATCTTTGCTGCCAAAGTGCGAGCTGCTGCAGCTGCTTTTGCTGCTGCTCCTGCTCCTATTGCTGCTGCAGGAGCTTCTGTCTGCGGCGGCCGCTGTAGATCTGCTGCAGCAGCAGGGCTGGGGTGTACGCACAGCCTCAAGTGGAGTCGCCATCGACTGCTGCTGCTGCTGCTGCTGCAGCTGCTGCTGCCGATGACGCTGCTGCTGCTAATCAACAAACAAAACACAAAAATTTAATAATGAACTTAATGAACAAAGAGAGGGGCTTTGCTGCAGTAGGGGCTGCCATGCTGACAGCCGCTGCAGCCCGGTGGGGTCGGTGTTACTGTGAGCAGCAGCAGCAGCAACAGCAGCAACAGCAGCAGCAACACTTGCTGCTGCTGCCAAAGTTGCTAAATCTGCCGCTATTTCTTCCTACTGTTACCACCCACACGCTCTAAGGGGCAGCTGCACCAGCAGCAGCAACAGCAGCAGATGTCGTTGCTGCTAGCAATAGCAGGCAGCAGCAACAGCAGCAGATCTCGTTGCTGCTAGCAATAGCAGGTAGCAGCAACAGCAGCAGCAACAGGATCTGCTGCTGCACGTCGCTTGGCCTTCTTTCTGCTTGTACCTGTTTATACCGATGGTGTATCTGAGGTGTATACGTAGCTGCTGTTTTTCTATGCTATGCTGCTCTCCCCGCTGAACTTCACTGCTGCTGCTACGGCTGCTGATGCTGTAACTGCTGCTGTAGCTGCTGCTCTTGTTGCTGCTGCTGCTGCTCTGTTTGTAAGGTAGCAGCAAGACACGACAGCAAAGGTGTGTGCGTGGGTTGCTGTCTCCGTGTCTCTGTCTCCTCAGAGCGAAACAGAGACAAAGGCAGCAGCAAGCAGCAAAGGGGACAGACGCACGGTGTACGTACACCCCAAAATAATGAGGGGTGTCAATAGTATATTCTCTGCTGCACATAGGACGGTCCCGCTGCAGCAGAAGCTGCAGAAAGGACTTTAATAGCAGCAGCAAGTGTAGCATTAGCAAGTGCAGCAGCAGCAGCAGCAGCAGCAGCAGCCACTTGTCCCGCAGCGACACCCTGCTGTCTCCACAAACCAAATCCTCTACACATCTGCGTTGCTTGCTGCTGCTGCTTGCTGCTGCTGTTTGCTGTTGCTGCTGCTCATTGCTGCTGCTGCCCGCTAATGCTGCTTGCTGCTGCTGCTGCCCGCTGGTGCTGCTGCTTTGGGGAGTCTCTCATTGCTTTCAAGGGACCCTACGAGCCCTATCTCCTATTATACTCGCCAGAGACAACGTGGCTAGCTAGCTAGCTAGCTAGCTGCTTGGCTAGCTAGCTAGACAGATAGATACTTGGCTAGCTAGCTAGACAGATAGCTTAGCTAGCTAGCTAGCTCAAGAGAGTGCAACTGCCACTGTAAACCCCGCAGCAAAAGAAGTCCTGTCTCCGCTGCTGCGCTGCTGCTGCGTTGCAGCAACGACATCAGCAAAATGTTTATTCAAGTGTACGTACACCGCAGCAGACAGCGGTAGCAGCTGCCGACAGCTCTGGTGTACATACACCATAAAACAAAACAGATACAACGCCCCCACCACTCACAACTCCTCTCCCTTCTGTGCATCTCCTTGCTGCTGCTGCTGCTGCTGCTGCCCTTCGTCTACCCCTTCTGCGTCTCCTGGCACTGTGTAGTTCCCCGCAAGGAAGGCGTCCACGTCCTTCTGCACCCTGCAGCAGCAGCAGCAGCAGCAGTCGCAGCAGCTAGGGAACCGCAGCAAGTGCTCAGCCACTTGAAGCACAAGCAAAATCAGCAGCAACAATAGCAGCAGGAGCAGCAGCAGCAACACCAACAGCAGTGCCTCTTACTTCTCCCTCATGTCCAGCCAGACATTCATGTTGGCGATCTTCGCCTGCAAGCAGCAACAGCAGAAGCAGCAACAGCAGCATCACCGCACAGCGAAGGTGTCTGGGCACTTCGGCACTTCTGCAGTAGCAGCGATGAGCCCAGCAGCAGCAGCAGCAACAGCAGCAGCAACAGCTACAGCAGCAGCTGCTGTCGTCTCTTACGGTGTCTGCAGTTAAGCGGCTCCACAACCCTACTTCCTTCTTCTTCAACGTCACCCTGCAGCAGCAAACAGCAAATCTGCATCTTTATTAACACCCCCGCTGCAGCAGCAGCAGCAGCAAGAGGAGCAGCAACAGCTGGAGCAGCCGTTGCAGCAATGGCAGCCACAGAGGCCTACTGCCAGCAGAACCAGCAGCAACTGCAGCATGAGCAGTAGCAGCTGCAACAAGTGCAGCAGCAACTGCAGCAAGAGCAGCAGCAACTGCAGCAAGAGCAGCAGCAGCTGCAGCAAGAGCAGCAACAGCTGCAGCAAGAGCAACTCTTACACGACTTTGCCCACGGAGGCGAAGTTCCACTTGGTCTTCTGCAGCAGCAACAGCAGCAGGAGCAGCAGCAGCAATTGCAGCAGACGTGTCTTAAAGTGTGGCTTCACGCCGCTGCCACAGCAGCAAGCGAGCCCGGAAGCAGCAGCAGCCGCAGCAGCAACAGAAACAGCAGCAGCAAACCCCACGCCACTTGTCAGCAGCCAATGCCCGATCAGCAGCAACACCAGGAAGAGCAGCAGCAGCAGCACCACCACCACCACATGCGCAGCGCAGCAGCACCAGAGCAGCAACAGCACAGCACGCGCAGCGCAGCAGCACCACAGCAGCAGCAGCAGCAGCAGGGCTTACATCAGGAAGGATATCTTTAAACAGCTTCAGGTGGAGGCGATACTGTCTCTTCACTCCTGAGTGCTGCGCCAAGCCCACGAAAGTAAAAGAAGAAGAAGTGCTTGAAATAGAGCTGTCTTCCAAGGACAACGCACCTGCAGCAGCAGCAGCAGCAGCAGCAGCAGCAGCAGCAGCAGCAGCAGCAACAGCAGTAGCACATGTACCAGCATGTCAGCAATAGGTAGTTGAGATAGCAGCAGCGAGTCAGCAGCGCACGCATCAGCAGCAAGAGCAGCACCATCACAATAAGAACAGCAACAGAAGTCGCAGCAGCAGCACAAACAGCAGCAGCAACAGCAGAAACAGCAGCTACCCAGCAGCAACCGCATATGCAACAGCAGCTATACCAGGGCTGCTCCATCTGTATGCAAATTTTATGTTTAAAAATACTTCAATAGGAGACTCAGCCCACTGAAAAGCCGGCGACATCCTGCAGCAGCAGCAGCAAACAGCAGCAGCAAGCAGCCGCAGCAGCAGCAAGCAGCAACAACAAACAACCGCAGCAACCGAAGAGTGAACAGTCAGCAGATTTGTTGAAGGCTCATGCATCTCCTCGCCTTCGAGGGGAGCAGCCGCTAGGTAGCAGATCTTGCTGTTGCTGCCGCTGCTGCTGTTGCTGCTGCTGCTGTTGTTGCTGCTACTGTTGCTACTGCTGCTGCTGCTGCTGCTGCTGCTGCAGGTGTACGTACACTGCAATTGCATCGTGCTGTTTGCTGAGGAGGCGCTCAACCTCCAACAACTCATTTCGCATATTCATCACCACACGGCGCACACGATACCCAACGTCTACACCTGCAGCAGCAGCAGCAGCAGCAGCAATTGCAGCAGCAGCTCGTTAACCGGGAAGGGCAACAAATCAACGCCAAATGAGGTTAACAAGGCAAAACAGCAACAGCAGCAGCAGCAGCAACAACAAGAGCAGCAGCAGCAACAGCAGCAGCAACAGCAGCAGCAGTGAAACAGCAGCATGGGCCAGCATAAGACGCACGCAAAAAGGAAGCAGCAGCAGTAACAGCCGCAACAAGAGCAACAGCAGCATCAGGAACAGCAATGGCCGCAGCAGCAGAAACAGCAATACGAGCAGCAACAGCAGCAGCAACAGCAGCAGCAGCAGCAGCAGCAGCAGCGTACGTACCGACTGTGTGGGAGTGCAGAATTATTTCCTGGGCTAACTTAAACCAGCCTCTTTGCAAGGCGAACTCCGCGTCATCCTGCAGCTCCTGTTCTAGCTGCTGCTGCTGGCTTTGCTGCTCCTTGTTTTGCTGCTGCTGCTGCTGCTGCTGCTGCTGCTGCTTCAGCTGCGCAATGGCTGCTTCTTCACTAGAAGCCCCTTCAAAACGAGAGGAGCTGCTGCTCTCTGCTGCGCCCCACACCCCACGAGGGGGCGCAAGCAGCAGCAGCACTGCTGCTACAAGCAGCGGCAACAGCGTTCGCCTCATGCTGTACATTCCCGCTGCTGCTGCTGCTGCTGCTGTTGCTGCTGCAAATAGGGGCAGCGCAAGTTAAAGGAAGCAGCTCCTGCTACTGCAGGTGTAGAGGACAGCGATGCCTAAGAAGCGCTGCAGCAGCTGCAGCAGCTACTGCTGCTGCTAGTAGAAATCCCGTTGTCTAGCAGCTGGTCCTTGCAGCAGCAGCACGCACGTGCTGCAGCAACAGCAGCAACAGAAGAAAGCACTGCGACAGTAGCAGCAGCAGCAGCAGCAGAAGCTAAGTCTTGGAGAGCCAGAGGCCCCCCAGACCCTCTTAGCTTCAATCCCTCAGGTCCTCGTGGCCTTCGTCCTGCAGCAGCGGCTGCTGCTACCTTTGCTGCTGCTGTGGCTGCTGCTGCTGCGGCTGGTGCGGCGTTGCTGCTGCAGCAGCAAAGCTGATTGCATTTAGCACCGCCAAAAGAAAAAATAGAACGACAAAGACACAGAAATACTCATTTAAAAAACAGGGTGAAAGACACAGCTTAGCAACACCGCAGCCGATGCCGCTGCTGCTGCTGCTGCATGCTGCTGCTGCTTCTGTTGTTGTTGCTGCTGCTGATGCAGTAACAGGACAGCGCCGCTACCGCTGAAGCAGCTTTTGTGTCTCTCTTGCAATTTGTATTTTGTTTTTCTAGATTTCCTCTCTCCTTATTATTTTCTGCTGAAACATCTCCGCTTTCTTCTCTAGCCACCCTGCTGCTGCTGCTGCTGCTGCGGCTGCTGCTGCTGCTGCTGCTGCTGCTGCTTGTGTGGAGCTTCCTCGAGGCGTCTCGGTGGATTTCTTCGGTGTACGTACAGTTGGTTGCTGTTGATTAGAGTGTGTGTTGCTGCTGCTGAGCTGCAGCAGGGGTTTTCGTTTCTATCTTGTCTGGGCGTAGCAGCAGCGGCTGGTGTTTGCTGCTGCTGCTGGTTGCTGCTGCAGGTGTTGCTGCAAGAGCGAATTGGAGGCTAAGGAAGATGTCTGTCTTCACGTACGTGCTGCAGGCGCTGCTGTTTGTTATTGCGCTGCTGCTGCCAACGTGTGTTGCAGTGCAGCAGCTGGGTACGAAGACGCAGCGGGAAGGCGCAGCAGCAGCAGCAACAGCAATACGGCTGCTGGAGTATTTCTTGCTGCTGTGCTGCATGCAGCAGCTCCTGTCTACATTCCCTGTTCGTTTGCTGCTGCGGGTGCTCCCCTGCTCCTTGGTGCTGCTGCTGCAGCTGGCAGCAGCAACAGCACTTGCAATCCCCTCTCTGTCTCTGTCGCAGCGTATTGTCTCCTTCTGTCTTGCACATGGAGACGAGTATATCCGTGCAGCAGCAGCAGCAGCAGACAGCAAGCTGCTGCAGCCTCTGAAGCAGAATGTGCAGAGGGCCTTAGATGCAGCACGCCAGCGCACCCAATGACTGCAGCAAAAAAATAAATAAGTTGTCTCCAACTGAGGAGGCATCTGTCTCCTTATTATTACACTGCTGTCCCCTCATTATTATATTACTGTCTCCTTTCAGGGCGGCTGTCTCCTCGTATAAGGAAACTGTCTCCTCCTCCAAGCTCACGATGCCCCTCAGCAGCAACAGCTAGCTAGCTAGCTATCTAGCTAGCTAGGTGTTGCAGCTAGCTAGCTAGCTAGCTAGCTAGCTAAATAATCTCCCCTTTATAGAACGAGGACTCGCGCCAAGTCGCACCCCACAGCAGCTGCAGCAAAACCCGCAGTGCAGCAACAGATGCTGGTGCAGCAGCAGCAGCGGCCGCTGCTGCTGCTGCTGCAACGGCAACAATAGCACCAGTTGCAGCAGCAGTTCCAGCATCTGCAGCAGAATCAGCAGCAGCAACAGAAGCAGTTTCAGCAGCTGCATCAGCAAAAGCAGCTGCAGCAGCAAGGGCAGCAGCAGCAGAAAAAGCAGCTGTAGCAGCAACACGAAGATTTGTAGCTGTGGCTTGTAAATGCTGCTGCTGCTGCTGCTGCGGTCTCAGCGGCCTTCATGCTGCAGTAGGACTGAACAACTGCTGCTGCAGCAGCAGTTTTTGCTGTTGAAGGGGTATATGTTGCTGTTGCTGTTGCTGTTTTGCCTCCACAGGCCCCCAGAGAGTGCAGCAACAGCAGCAGCAGCAGCTGTTGCTGCTGCTGCTGCCGCTGAAGGGGTGTGTAGGAGACAGAGACAGAAGACAGGGAGGAGACGTTAGTTAGAGGAGACGGCGAAGAGAGAGCAAATAAAAAATAAACAACGAAGACATAAGGAGACAGATATAGAGAGAGAGACAGAGACAGGCAAAAGGAGACAGAGACGAAGAGTTAGAGAGAGAGACACAAAAAGAAGCAGAGACATATAGACAGCTCAGCAGCAATAAAGACACGAGGAGACAGATAATAAAAGAGAAAGATGAAAGGGAGACAGAGCTGTCTCTTTTGACTGTCTCTGCTGCACCCGCCTGTCTGTCTCCTTTCTGTTATTAATTATTCTAGCTTTACTACTTTGTTCTTTACTTGTAGCTACAATATATATATATACATATTTATTTATATTGTTTATTTATTATTTATTGAGCTGCTTATTACTATTATTCTGCTATCAAGAAAAAGGAGACAGGCTCTACACACTGTCTCTAGCCAAGTTGCAGTCTATAGAGACTGTCTCTAATCAACTTGCTGCTGCTGTTGCTGCTGCAGCAGCAGGGAGGCCTGTAGGTGCCTATACACCCCAAGGAGGCGGGCGTGCTCCCCCCACACTGTGCAGCTCCTGCTGCAGCAGCAAAGGCAGCAGCAGCAACAGACGCTGCAGCAGCATAAGCTGCAGCAGCAGCAGGAGACACTCAAACTGCCCGCTCGCTGCTGCTCGCTGCATAGAAGAGACAATAGAGAGACAGAGTAGTAAAGAAGAAGGGACAGAAGGTGCGAGAGCAGCAGCAGAGACAGAGTATAATGGGCAGAGAGACAAAGGAGACAGACTGAAAGGAGACAGCATAAAGCAGCAACATGTAAAGAAAGAGACAGACAAATGCAGCAGCTAGAGATCTGAAAAAGATACGCTAAAATGCAATAGCCTTTCGGCTGTCTCTGCTGTTTCTCCAACTCAGAGGATGTGTCTCCTCTGTTGCTTCTTCGTCGATCTTCCATATCTGCAGCAGCAGCAGCAACAGCAGCAGCAGCAGCAACAGCAGCAGCAACAGCAGCAGATAGCAAACCCTCATTAACTCTTTTTCAAACGCGGCACCACCACAATCAACAGCAGCAGCAGCACCCATGCAGCAAGAGGATAACCAGCAGCAAAAACAGCAGCAGCAGCAGCAGTCGCTGCAGCAGGCAAAATACCAGCAGCAGCAACAAAAGCAGCAGCATCAGCCCAAGCAGCAGCAACAGCAGCAGCATCAGCCCAGGCAACAGCAGCATCAGCAACAGCAGCAGCAGCATCAGCCCAAGCAGCAGCAGCATCAGCCCAAGCAGCAGCAGCAGGAGCAGCAGCAACAGCAGCAGGAGGGAGTGGCTCTAACTTTGATGGTTTTATCGCATTCTCCTGTGATGAGTCTTGTCTCAGATTTATCAAACGTGCAGCAAAATATCCCGTTTTCGCTCTCTAAAGACCCTGGCTGAACTCGCGATTGCAAAGTTTGATACTTGTACCCAGAACGCCAGTCCCAGAAATGAAGCTGCCTGTACACCCCAAAACCCTAAACCCTAAACCCTAAACCCGAAACTCCCAAACCCTAAACTGTAAGCATTGTTAAACTTCTAATAATGTGAAGAAAAAAAAACATGCACTAACCCGCAACAAATATTTCGTCGCCAACCTTATCCCCAAACCCTAAACCCTTAAACCCTTAACCCTAAACCCTAAACCCTAAACCCTAAACCCTAAACCCTAAACCCTAAACCCTAGACGGACCCGTTGTTGCTTCCAACCACAAGGGAGGATTTGTCTCCTTCGCTGCGAATGGCGCAGCAATTGGGAATTGCATTTAAACCCTCAATATTTCGCTCAAAAGCCCCAAGAGGACACCGCCAGGCCTGCATGCATGCAACAGCAAACCCAAACCCTAAACCCTAAACCCTAAACCATTAACCCTAGCCATCACGCAACCACCTTAAACGCCCACCACATCCACCAATACGTCACCCCACCCTCCCCCCTACCCACCTCCAACTCCCCAAACCCTAAACCCTAAACCCTAAACCCTAAACCCTAAACCCTAAACCCTACTTTAACTTTGTCTGCGCCGCAAGTAACAAAGGAGTATTCAGTCGGATGAAGAGCCAGCGAGCGGACACTCTTTTTGTGGTTTGTGAGTGTGGCTTCGCACTTCCCAGCAGTCAAGTCCCACAGACGCACCTGCAGCAGCAGCAGCAGCAGCAAGAACAGAAGCAGTCGGAAGCAATACAGGACACAGAAGCCGCAGCCGCACCCTCAGCAGCACATCACTCCCCGCAACAAAAGTAGCAACAGCAGCAGCAGCAGCAGCAACCAGCAGCAGTAGTCGCAGCACCCAGCAGCAGCACCCAGCAGCAGCAGCAGCAGGAGGAGGATGAGTATGTTATAGATGATCGCACCATCTTATCTTGAGAAGCAGAGATGATGTGAGGCTTTAAAGTTTGCATTTGCAGACCCATGATCGTCCCCGAGTGACCGCTCAAGGTGTATATACTCTGCTTCGTTCGCATGTCCCAAACCCTTACTACGGCGTCTCTCCCTCCAGAGCATAAAATGTCTAATGAAGGGTGCAGCGCCAATGTATATACACCTGAAATCAATATAAATAATATATATATATACTCGTATATATATGTATATATATGTATATGCGTATATATAATATACATTATGTATGAATACTATATATATATATATATATATATATATATAGACATGAAGATAAAAGTATAAAAAGAAATACATAAATATATATATGTATATATACAAATCCAAATGCATGCATACAAAGACTTCTGCTGCGGCTATTGCTGCTGCTGCTGCTGCTGCTGCTGCTGCCCTGCTTAGGGTTTAAGCGCGAACAGAGCCATAAACCTGGGACTCCCTGATGATGTTTAGGGTTTAGGGTTTAGGGTTTACCTGACAGGTGACCATGGTAGTCTCTGACAACCCTATTTAACTATTAAGGGTTTAGGGTTTAGGGTTTAGGGTTTAGGGTTTACCTGAGAGGTGACCATGGTAGTCTCTGACAACTCTATTTTGTTCTAAGTCCCAGCACTTCACTCTCCCGTCTTCTCCGCAGCTGAAGAGGTAAGGGTGGCGATCAGATATTTTTATATCTCTCAAAGACGAGACATGTCCTAAACCACAATCAAACAAGGGTTTAGGGTTTAGGGTTTAGGGTTTATCGGAAGGGCTCAACAACACAACGGGTTACGCTGGTTTAGCGCTTGCACAATTCGATATTTGAAACTTTTAGGGTTTAGGGTTTAGGGTTCGGGTGGTTTAGGGTTTAGGGATAGGGTTTATGAGGGTTTACGAGGGTTTATGCAACTGAAGACGGCGCTAAAGGGTTTATTAATACAAAGGGTTTAAAGGGTTTAAAGGGTTTACAAGGGTTTAAAGGGTTTAAAGGGTTTAAAGGGTTTAAAGGGTTTATAAGGGTTTACAAGGGTTAATAAATGGTTATTACTAAAGGTGTATGACAAAGATGTATGATAAAAGAGTGAGGAGGGTTTAGGGTTTAGGGCCTAGATAGACATATACCTCTAAAGAGAGAGTTTAGGTCTGGAATTAAAGAAGACAGTATGAAAGAAGAGTGAAAAGGGTTTAGGGTTTAGGGTTTAGGGTTTGTATATACCTGTAAGAGAGAGTTTAAGCCTGGGGTTTGGGAAGTCCCAGACCTTAATAAGGCGGTCGTTGCCTCCCGAGACGAAGAAGCTGTTGCTGCTGTCAACAGCAATGCAGTTAACCCAGCCTAAGTGTCCGCTAATAACTTGCTGCAGCACCCAAGGGGGGTGCCAGGAGGGGGTTAAAGGCCGCAGCAAACTAGCAGCACCGACCAAACGTACTCCTGATAATATGTCTCCTCCTGCTGCTCCTGCTGCTCCTGCTGATGCTGATGATGATGATGATGATGCTGTTGCTGCTGCTGTCGAAGATGGGGAAGCAGACGCGGAAGATGAGCCATCTATCACGCTGCTGCTGCTGCTGCTGCTGCTGCTGCTGCTGCTGTTCGCGTACGGGGATAACATATGAATTAACTCAGATATTGAAGCACCAACGGGTGCACGGCCTACTTCTGCTGCGCCTCCTGCTGCTGCTGCTGCTGAGCCTCCTGCTGCTGCTGCTGACGATGATGATGAGCCTGCTGCTCCCTCCCCGGGAGCCACGGAAGTAGCAGCAGCAGCAGGAGCAGCAGCAGCAAACGGTGGTGTACTGTCGGTTATAGCTGCTGGTTTATCTTGTCCCTGCTGCAGCATGTGATGCTGGCTTCCCTTCGCCTTTTCTACTGCTGCTTTTGCAGCAGCAGCAGCAGCAGCAGATTGCTGCAGCGTCTCGAAGTTATACTCATCTTTAAGCTTAAGACGAAGAGACAGCTCAACAGCAGCAGCAAACGGAGGAGCTCGAAGACCTTCATTTGCTCTAAACAATTCCCGCGTGCGGTGTACAGACACCTGAAGTAAACCAGGAAGAGGACGCAGGGGGCCTTCAAAGTCGAGCGGGTCCCAAGCACGCTTCCCACGAAAGCGTTTGTTGCTGCTGCTGCTGCTGCTGTTGCTGCTGCTGCTGCTGTTGCTGTTGCTGATGCTGTTGCTGCTGCTGTTGCTGCTCGGCGCCGGAATGGGCGCCGCCGCTGTGGGAGCCGCCATAGTCGCTACAGCTGCAGCTTAGATTCCTACTGCTGCCGCTGCTGCTGCTGCTGTTTTCGCTGCTGCTGCTGCTGCTGCTAATCACTTCGCTGCGGTTGGGCTTGTTCTGGCCTCTATTTGTACAGCTGCAGCAGCTGCTGCTGCTGTTGCTGCTGCTGCTGCAGCGCAGCGGGAGGCTGGGGCCCCAGGGTACTACAAATGGAGATAAACCCGCGCAAGAAAAATTGTCTTGCTGCTGAAACAAAGAAACAAAACAGACAGAGAGAATATCTGCTGCTGCTGCAGCTGTTTTTACTGCTGCTGCTGTTTTCTTGCTCGCTTAATTCAACGAAATCTACCCCAATGCATGCAACAGAGCAGGAGGCTGCTGCTGGCGGCCAGCAGCAGCAGCAGCAGCAGCAGCAGCAGCGGCTGCTGCAGCGGGCTGCAGCAGCAGCGCTGGGGCTTGCGATGTGGGGAGGGCGCCTCGCTGGTGTTTGGGTTGCATTTATGCAGCAGCAGCAGCAGCAGCAGCAGCAAAAAAGTCTCCTCTTTTGTTTTTAGAGGGACGTCTCCGGAGTCGAGGTGAGTTTTGTTGCTGCTGCTATTGGGTGCAGCAGCAGCAGCAGCCTGTCTGCTGCTGCTGCTGCTGTTGCTGCGCTCCCGTGCTGCTGCGCACGAGGCCTCTGTTTAGTATTTGTTTGTTGAAGGGAGAGTTTTTAGGAGTTGTTTGTTTTTGTTTTGTTGCAATTGCTCTGAGACTGACGGGAGAATCAGCAGCAGCAGCAGCAGCAGCAGCAGCAGAGAGCAGCAGCAGATATCGTTGTGGGTTTTTGTGTTGTATGTTTGTGTGTTTGATGTTTTCTTTGTTTCTTTCTAAATACACCCTTGAAAATATTATTTTAATTGCTGTTTCTGTGCTTATACTACATATTCTCTGCCCCCCGCAGCCACAGCAGCAGCAGCAGCAACAACAGCAACAGCAGCATCATCAGCAGCAGGAAGAAGAAGAGCAGCAGCACTTGCATTTTAAAGCAAGAGTTGAATAAAGTATTATTGTGCTTTATTTTATTTGACGGGTTTGATGGTGTATATTATATTACTTTTGCTTGTATATGTTTGCAGGTGTAGGAGAGCCTAAAAATAATAATAAAATAAAAGTACTGAAGATAGAAGTCCTTGAAGATGGGTAAAGCAGAGAGAGCAGCAAAGAGAAAGGAGTACTTTCCTCGTCTATTTCGTTTACTAGAGGAGTACTCGCGTTTATTGATAGTGTCTGCTGATCATGTGGGGTCAAGACAGCTTGCATCGATAAGAATAGCATTAAGAGGTAAAGGTGAAGTATTGATGGGTAAGAATACGATGATAAGAACAGCACTTCGTTCGCGATTAAGTGAGAGACCTGAGCTTGAAGCATTATTACCTCTTGTAAAATTAAATGTGGGGTTTGTCTTCTGTGGAGACGATCCCACAACGATCCGGGATATCATTGATCAACATCGCGTTCCCGCTCCCGCTAGACAGGGAGTCGTCGCTCCCATCGATGTTTATATCCCAGCAGGCCCCACAGGCATGGATCCCGGTAGCACCTCTTTCTTTCAAGCTCTCGGCATTAGCACAAAGATTGTCAAAGGACAAATTGAGATACAAAGCGAAGTGCACCTCATCAAACAAGGAGAGAAGGTCTCTGCTAGTGCTGCTACTCTTCTGCATAAACTCAATATCAAACCCTTCCAGTACGGGCTTGCTGTTCAACATATCTATGATAACGGTAAACCCTAAACCCTAAACCACAAACCCTAAACCCTAAACCACAAACCCTAAACCCTTAAAACTGCTTCATACATTTAGTATTTAAATCTTTAACTGTCGACTCGCAATTCAATGTATTTATGATAATGCTAAACCCTAAACCACAAACCCTAAACCCTTTACACTACTACTTATTTAACCCTTTCAGTATGGCGTGAAGGTTCAGCATATCTATGATGATGCTAAACCCTAAACCACAAACCCTAAACATACTATTAACCCTAAACAATCCGCCTGTGGCTCTTCTAAAATAATGATGTTCTTGCTGCTGCTGCTGCTTCTTGCTGCTGCTGCTTCTTGCTGCTGCTGCTTCTTGTCTTTATAAGTATCCACGTGCCCGAATAAACAGCAGCAGCAGCAACAATACCCGCAGCAACAACACCCGCAGCAACAGCAGCAGCAGCAGCAACACCCGCAGTAACAGCAGCAGCAGCAACAACACCCGCAGCAACAACTGCAGCAGCAACAACACCCGCAGCAACAGCAGCAACAGCAGCAGCAGCAGGATGCGTGTGTGTGTGTGTGTGTGTGTGTGTTGTGTTTGTTTTTTAGGTAGTGTTTACTCTTCATCAGTTTTAGATATAACTGATGAGAAGATATTAACAGCATTTAAAGAAGGCATCACAAATGTGGCGGCATTCTCAAGGTCCCTTGGCTTCCCGACTGCTGCTGCTGCACCCCACAGCATCATCGAGGGCTTTCGGTATTGTGCTGCTCTTTGCTTGGATACAGACTTTGTGTTTCCTCAGATGCAGCAGCTTAAACAAATGGTTGATAACCCAGAAGCATTTGCTGCTGCTGCTGCTGCACCTGCAGCAGCTGCTGCTTCATCAGGAGGAGCTGCTGCTGCTGCTGCACCCGCTAAAGAAGAAGAAGAAGAAGAAGAAGACGGCGACATGGGCTTCTCTCTCTTCGATTAAGCGCCCTCAAACTAAACATACATACACTGCCCCAGCTAGCTAGCTAGCTAGCTAGCTAGCTAGCTAACTGGCTAGTTAGCTGGGTAGCTAGCTAGCTGACTAGTTAGCTAGCTGGCTGGCTAGTTAACTGATTAGCTGGCTAGCTGGCTAGCTAGCTAGGCGGCTAGCTAGCCGGTTAGCTAGCTAGCTAGCTGGCTAGCTAACCAGCCAGCTGGCGGTGTCCAAACAAACGTGGAGACAGAGACTGCTGCCCTAAGGGGTGTATCCCCTCAGATGTTTGAAGGCGTCAGACCCAAGCAACTAACAGCTATCCCCGTAGCTAGCTATGGAGGTAGCCGGCTAGCTAGCTAGCTTGCTAGCTAGACACCTAGCCAGCTAGGCCGCAAGGTAGTTAGTCAGTTAGCTAGTTAGGCAGCTAGCCAGGTAGCTAGCTAGATAGCTAGCCATCTAGATACTTATCAAACTGGATGGATAGCTAGCTAGCTAGCCAGCTAGCTGCCTAGACAGCTAGCCAGCTCGATAGCTATCGGCCTACTTACGTAGGTTCGTGGATGTGCCTATTGCTTCGTGAGAGGGCAGCAGCAAGCAGCAGCGGTAGAGGAAGAGGAGCAGCAGCTATAAGCAGCTAGCTAAAGGAGACAGCTAGCTATGTAACGAGGAGACAGCTAGCTATGTAGAGGGACAGCTATGGGCGTGTGTCTGTATAGAAGGTGTTGCTGCAGCTGCTGCAGGCTGCCTCTACACCTCAAATAAGTGCAGTAATAAGAATCTATCAACTAGAAAAAGCTGCGGGTACACCTGAATTCAATGAGTGCTGCTTGCAGCAGCTGTAGCCTTCTCGCTGCTGCTGCTGCTGCAGCTGCGGCTGCTGCGGCGGCGCATGTGGCGTTGTGTCTGCTGCTCTATTTTATATATTATCTTCTTGCTGTTTCAATTTATTAAAAATTGCTGCTAAGGTGCAGCTGCTGCTGATGATGCGCCCTAACAGCTGTGGGGCCCCACACCGGCAGCAGCAGCAGCAGCAGCAGCAGTAGCCGCAGCAAAAGCCGCCGCAGGGGAGGACACAAACAGCAGATTCTATAGACAAAGAGACAAAGGAGACAGTTGCTGCAGCAAATGAAACGGAGACAGAAGGAGACACGCCTGCTGCAGCCGCCGCGACAGCAGCAGCAGCGGCAGCCGCAGCAGCAGCAGCAGCAGCAGCAGCTGTAACCAGTATGGGACCCCCCTTCGTTATTGAGCGTCTGCTGCTTGCAAGGGGAGCAGCTGCAGCAGCAGAAGTTGCAGCGCCAGCAGCAGCAGCAGCTGCTGCTGCAGTGCCGAGTGCTCCTCTGTGCCGCAGCTTCAGCAGCAACAGCAGCAGCAGCAGCACTAAGCGCACCCTGAAGCCTTCCGACATTTGTTCATCTGTCTCTGTCTCCCCATCTTATCTGTCTCCCTACCAGAAGCTGCTGCAGCGGCTAGCAAAGGAACGGCGCAGCAGCAGCAACACGCAGCAAACTGCAGCAGCTGCAGCAGCAGAAACAGCAGCAGCAGGAGACCATTGCGGGCCAGGGGCAGGAGCTGCTGCTGCTGTTGCTGCTGCTCCAGCAGCTGCAGCAGCAATACCCAGCTATGCTAATGCTAGCCCTTGGCAGCAGCTAAAGGCAGCGCTGGTGCTGCAGCAGCAGCAGCAGAAACAAGCCCTCATTGCAGCGAGAAGGAAAGGCTCTGCTGCTGCTGCTGCTGCTGCTCCTGCTCATGCTGCTGCTGCTGCTGCACCTGTCAAGAGGGGACAAAGCCCGGCTGCAGCGTTTCTATCTCGCCAAAAGCAGCAGCAGCGGCAGCAAAAACAGCAGCAGCAGCAGCAGCAGCAGCAGCAGGAATCAGCAGTGGTGCAGCAGCAGCAGGGGGAAGCTCTGCAGGAGTATGATGAGGGGCAGCAGCAGCTGGCGCTGCTGCAGCACCGCGATGCTGCAGTGCAGCAGCAGAAGGGACAGCTAATTAAGAAGATGTGGCGTAGCCTCAAGAGACACAAACTTACACAATTTGAAGCCCTCATGGAAGAATTAGAGTGAGGCCCTGCTGCTGCTGCTGCTGCTGCTGCATTTGCTGCTGCTGCTGCTGCTGCTGCTGCTGCTGTTGCTGCTACTGTTCTTCGTGCATTTGCTGCTCGTCGTGCATTTGCTGCTGCTGCTCCTGCTGTCATTGCATTGGCTACTGCTGCTACTGTTGTTGCTGTTCCTGCTGCTGCTGCTGCTGCTGCTCTGCTGCTGCAGCTCTCAGTGTCTCCCCCCTGACGAGGTGGTGCTGACAGTAAAATTGTTCGGCTTTATTGTGAGGAGACAGCCAAACCTTGATGCAGTAAGCAGCAGCAACAGCAGCAGCAGCAGCAGCAGAAGCCCTAGCTGGAACAAGAGCAGCAGGAGCTGCTGCTGCTGCTGCTGCTGCTGGAGCAGCGAGAGCAGCAGCAGCAGCAGCAGCGAAAACGCCGCCGGCCATCTTTTCTAAACCCTAAACCCTAAACCCTAAACCCTAATGTGTGTGTATGAAGGCCTGGGAAGTACTGGGAGAGATGAAAGCGCTGGGGGTGCATCCTACGCTTGTTAGGTTTAACCAGGTGAGCAGCAAAAGCTGCTGCTGCTGCTGCTGCAGCAACTGCTGCTGTTGCTGTTGCTGTTGCTGCCTTGTGAGTGTTGCAGCAAGCGCTGCTGCATCTTTCTCTTCTACTGCAGTATTCCTGATGTTTGTTTTTGCTGCTGTCTTTGCTGCTGCTGCCGCCACCACTGCTGCTCCTTCTGCTGTTGCTGCTGCTGCTCCTGCTCCTGCTGCAGCGGCTGCTGCTGTCTTTAAGCGAGCTGCACCGATTGTCTGCCTGGCCTCGCGAAGCACTTTTAAGAAAATGTTTGAGGGCAGCTTGGCTTGCTGCTGCGCTGCTGCGCAACAGAAGACAGAGACAAATAGAGAGACACAACCAGCTGCTGCTGCAGCAGGTGAGCAACGTTAGCTGCTGCAGCTAGCTGCTGCAGCAGCTAGCTGCAGCAGCACAGACATCTATCAGCCTAGCTCAGGACACAGCAGCAAATAAAGGCAGCAAAAGCAGCACAAGCCCATCAACGATGAAGCCCGCTTAATGCATCCGCTCCTCTGCTGCTGCTGCTGCTGCTGCTGTTGCTGCTGCTGCTGCTGCTGCAGGGCGTAGACAGCAGCGCACTGCTGTCTATGCAAGACCTCAGGGCCTTGTGGGTGGGGGCTACGGTGGATCCGCTGCTGCCAGGTGCAGCGAGGGCAGTGCTGCTGCAGGAGCAGCAGCAAGGCACGCCAGAAGCAGAAGCAGCAGCAGCAGCTGCTGCTGCTGCTGATCCCGCCGCTGCTGCACAACCTGTACGATTAGCAACAACTGCAGCATATGTTGCTGCTTCCCTCGCAGACACAGCTCTCTTCGCGCCTCAGCCCAGGTGTACGTACACCCCAAAAATACTGCTACTGCTACTGCTGCTTCTGCTGCTGCTGCTGCTGCTGCTGCTAGGTGGCTGCAACGGGTATTTGTCTCACTGCTTCTGTTTTCACTGGGTGTATACGAGCCCTGCTTCTCTGTGCTGCTGCTGCTGTGCTGCTGCTGCCTGCTGTGCTGCTGCTGCCTGCTGTGCTGCTGCTGCTGCAGTGGGTGGTGTGGGGCGCTTCATGGAGTTGTCTGGCTGCAGCGGCAGAGACACAAATTCTTCTGTTATGCGGCTTCTTGCTGCTGAAGGAGACAGCAGCAGCAGCGACAAGCAACTGTCTCCTTTGGGTGGCGACGGCTGGGAGTACTTCACCAGCACACCCGGGGTGTCTAGACACCTCGCGAGAGCTGCAGCAGCAGCAGCAGCAGCAGCAGATACAGCTGCTGCTGCTGATACGCCAGCAGCAGCAGCAAGATTGCCAGCTGCAGCAGATCCACCAACTGCAGCAGCAGGCAATGCATCTCCAGTCTCCGCAGCAGCAGCAACTGCAGCGACTGCCGCTGCTGCAGTAACACCCGCTGCTGCAGCAACACCCCCTGCTGCAGCAGCACCCCCTGCTGCAGCAAGAACAAGAGCAACAGCAACACCAGCAGCAACAGCAGCAGCAGCAACAACAGCAGCAAGAGCAGCAGCAGATGCGCAGGGAGCGGTGTTCGAGGGGGTGTGGAGTGCTTCGGGTTATAAATTTTATAAGGGGAGACTACGCAGGCAGCAAAAACAAATGTCATTAAAAGAAGAATGAATGAAACAAAGACAGCAGCAACGGCAGCAGCAGCAGCAGCAGCAATTGCTGCTGCTGCTGCTGCAACAGCTGCAACAACTGCTGTTGTGCTGTTATTGCAGCCAGATCTGCTGCTGCTGCAGCAAACGCTGCTGCTGCTGCAGCAAACGCTGCTGCTGCTGCAGCAAAAGCTGCACCTGCCGCAGCAAGAACCGCTGCCGCTACAGCCGCTGCTACGGCAGCAAGCGCTGCAGCTGCTGCTGCTGCTGCTGGAGCAGCAGCAGCAAGAACTTGTTAGCTTGAGAGCATTTGTGGGTTTGTTTGTATGAAAGGAGACAGTGGTTGGTGTATAAGGAGACAGTACGAGTTGAAGGAGACAGATGAAAGGCAGCAAAGCAGAGCTAGAGACGAACAGAGAGAGACAGACAGACAGATACAGCATAGCAGCAAACACTAAAGAGACAAAGAAGACAGATAATAAAGGAGACAGATAATAACAATAATACTGACGAAGCAGCAAAACCCTACCCTATATATTTAGGGTTTAGGGTTTAGGGTTTAGGGTTTGTCTTGCAGCCGTCAGGAAGCCCCCGCAGGCGGGGAGTATTAGAGAATAGAGGGGCTAGGGTTTAGGGTTTGTGTTTATTGTTGAAGGTGTAGTATTTAGGGTTTAGTGTTTATGATTTAGGGTTTATGATTAGGGTTTAGGGTTTGTGTTTAGGGTTTAGGGTTTAGGGTGTATTGACTCATCATAGGGTTTAGACAGGGTTTACGTATATAGTTGTGAATCTGAGGTTTAGGTTAAACTCTTTAGGGTTTATGAGGGTTGTTTATCAGGGTTGTTTATCAGGGTTTATTAGGGTTTGATGTTGTGCTGCTGCATGCATTAGGAGCTGAGCTGCTGCTGCAGACAACGAAGCAATACTTCTTTTGTCAGGGCATTCAGCATAAATTCTCGCGACATCTTCAGTGCCGGACGGACGAACAAAAAGGCGAGAGAAGGGGCCTTTATGAATATATAACTCATTTATAGCAGTCTGAAGCAGGCAGACAATCTATTCAGGAGACACCTTTTATGCTCAAGGAGACATATAACTCTGCATGCAGCAACACCACCACCAGCAGCAGCAACAGCACCAGCAGCAGCAAATGCAGCAGCAGCGGCAATTGCAACAGCAACAGCAACAGCAGAAGCAACAGCAGCAACAGTAGCAGCAACAACGGCAACAGCAGCAGCAGCAACAGCAACAGCAGCAGCAACAGCAACAGCAACAGCAACAGCAGCAGCAGCAGCAGCAACAGCAGCAGGAAGGGTGCTATCACCTGCAGCTCCTTTGGTTCTATGAGCCACTTCTCATGCACAGGGTGGGGCTTCAAGGTAGATAGAAAAGAACGAGGGAGAGGCACCTAAAATATAAATATAATATTTATTAATAAATATTTATAAATATAAATATAATTACAGTAATAAATTGATATAAGAATAATAATATCAGATAAATAAATAACAATAAACAAATAGATTTAATAATATAATAAATAAATATATATATATATATTATAATATAATATTATAATAATAATATAAAGTAGAGAATAATAATAAATAACAAAGGAGACAAATAAAAATATAATAGCACTTCTAAACAAAGACACAGACAAACAAACACAAAAAAACAGCAGCAAATATATTAATAACGAGTAGACAAATAACTAAAGCAAGAGACAACAAAAGCAATAAAAACAAACAGAAATAGAGATGAATAAAACAATGAAAAGGAGAGACAGCTAACAAAGAAGGAGACAGAAAAGAGAGACAGACGCCTAGCCACTATAATAATAATAATAATAAAATATAATAATATATAATAATATAATATATAATAATAATAATAATTAATAATAATAATAATAATAAGTAATAGCATCAACAACAGAACAGCAGCAAAAGGAGACAGAGACAGCAGAGAGACAGGAGACAGAAAGGAAGAGAGACAGAGAGAGACAATAAAAGAGAGAGAAGAGACAATTAAAGAGACAAAGAGAGACAGCAAAACAAAAATTAATAAAAACGGAGAAGAGAGAGACAGCTGTAGATAAGGAGACATCAAAAGAGAAATAAATAAAACATATAAAACAACAATTCAACAAGAAGAGACAGAGACAGAGAGAAAAGGAGACAGAAAGGGATATATATGTGAATATATATATACATATACGTATATATATAAATATATGTATATATATAAATATATATGTATATAACTATATATGTATATAAATATATATGTATATATATATATATATATATACATATATATATATATAGAGAGAGAGAGAGAAAACAACAGAGAATAGAGAGACGCTTGAAGAGACAAACGGAGACAAGAGAGACAAACAAACAATAATAAAAATAACAATAACGCTAACAAGAATAAGAATAAGAATAAGAATTAGAAGGAGACAGGTGCTTACTTTAGTTGTTAATGAAGGAAATTCGTCATAGAGACACATCCACTCTTGAAGAGACAGAGACAGCCGAGCTCGCGCTGTCTCTACAGCTAATAAATCACAGACTGCGTCTCCGGTTGCAGGGTTTAAAAGACAAATAAAATGATATAAAAACTTATATTCCTCTGTCTGCATGCGCATGCAGACAAACAGAGACAGATAAAGATAAAGATAGAGACAGATAAAGATATAGTCAGATAGAGACAGATAGAGACAGATAGAGACAGATACAGACAGATACAGATAGATAGAGACAGAGACAGAGACATACATAGACAGAGACAGTGAAAGAGACAGAGATACGCATAGATAGAGACAGAGACAGACGGAGACAGAGACAGACGGAGACAGAGAGAGACACAGAGCAAGAAAGAAAGAGCGAAATGAGACAGAGGAGGAGACAAACGAGAAAGAGACGAAAAAGGAGACAGAGAGGGGCACAGAGACAGCAACAGATATGCCACAGAGAAGGAGACAAACTGCAGCAGCCTCAGCAGCAGGAGCAGCAACAGCAGCAGCAGCCTCAGCAGCACCCCTCAGCAGCAGCCTCAGCAGCAGCAACAGCAGCAACAGCAGCAGCACCCTCAGCAGCAGCACCCTCAGCAGCCTCATCCTCAACAGCAGCAGCCCCCGCAGCAGGAGCCTCCCCAGCAGCAGCAGCAGCAGCAGCAGCAGCAGCAGCAGCAGGACCTTGTACCTGATCGATGCCTGCTGTCTCTGCCCAGTGCTGCAGCAGCTTTTTATTCGCGAGACATGTGCCGTGTCCGTTGGCTTCAAAATAAACACTCAGAAAAAACTTTTCTGCTTCTTGATGCAGATTCTTTACTCCTGTCTTCGTGCAGCGAAGCTCCAGCTGCAACACCAAACCCTAAACCCTAAACCCTAAACCCTAAACCACTGACAGCTGAAATACAACCTTGATAATACACGCATATTGAATCATTATAATAACAAAGACGGAGTAAGCAGCCACTTAAGAATGAGCTGCCGATTTAGGGTTTAGGGTTTAGGGTTTAGGGTTTGGGGTTTAGGGTTTGGGGGAGGGTTTAGAGATTTTAGGGTTTAGGGTTTTTCCTTTCGCAGTTATAAGTTATTTTAGTTAAAGACAAATGAACAGAGGTTCAGGATTCGCCGAGTGCAAAATTAGGGTTTAGGGTTTAGGGTTTAGGGTTTAGGGTTTAGGGTTTAGGGTTTAGGGTTTAG